CCGCGAAAGCTCTTTCTAAAGACGAGAAAAAATAACTCCAGTTTTCAGGTTTACTCGGAACCTTCAATGTTCTTATACTATATGTTCTTATACTTTTAATAAGGGAATCTAAGGAATCGGAACTTTCTCCTTTAGTTTCGTTTTGATCGTTATTAACACTTTTGGTTACAGCTCGCAATCGAGCAATTTCCAGTTCTGTTTTACATCTCTCTAATTTAATTTGTTCTAACTGTAATACTTTATTTTCTTCAGATTTACGATGCTCTACTATGGAATTACCCAACTCTATTACCGAATTTGGATCGTATTTAAAAGCTTCACTACTTTTAATCGCTAAATTTAAATCTGTAACAGTTATCTTTTCACTTAATTCTATATTCAGTTCTAAAGCTTTAATAGCTTTAAACTTTCCTATCTTAAGTGCACCTTTTTATCAACATTGTACTCTTAATGAAATAACTCAAGATAATAAGTAATTGTTTCTCAAATTACTTAAACACAGTAACGCAGTATATAAATACTATAAATTTTCTCAAAACTCTTACACAGTATCTTCAAAATAACAAAATGGCACTTTATTTCGTAAATCGAAACTGCTGACTTACTTGTTACTTGTAACTAACTCATAATCCATAGATCTCTGGCCCATCACGGACCACGATGTTTTGCAGAGGCACTACACTATAATTCAATAAACTCAGGAACAATGGACTATATTATATCTCACTTTAATTCTCATTAATTTACATAGTTCATGGCCACTCGAAGCCACGAATTCTCTCACACGCTCTTAGCTCACAATCTCATGTCACAAACTCCAAGAGCTCAAGGCGCATGCGCCGACGCTAGTAATGAAATGCGCGCGCAGGCGCAACACTAGTGTTAACCATGTTTGCATCGTGTGCAAATATGAATGTTCATTCCACATATTTATCAAAATATATAATCTGAACATGAAAATTGCCTTGCCAGTACTATAGAAGTACCACAATTAAAATTACATTAGTATTTTTCTCTATGATATTCAAACATATTGGTATAGGGTAGGGATGGGTAAACGTTTTCGGTCGTGGGCCAAAAATCGAAAGAAAAAAGTTTGGCGGGCCAACATAAGTTTTTCTAAAATTTTTGAAACAATATCCAAGTATTACAAGTTAAATATGTTAATGAGATGAATGAAACTGCGATTTCATTTTTAAAAGTTCTTCATATTGAGGTTCGAAGTGAGATGTACTGATTCTAAGGAACGAAGCTAAATGCTCATCTGTCAGTCTACTTCTGAAATAATTCTTTCTAAGGTTTATAGTTGAAAACACTCGTTCACATATATAAAATGAAGCAAGAATAGCACTGATTTTCTGGGCGTGAGATATAAATTTGGGAAACTTACTTTAGATAATGATTTGTAAAACTCAAACTTTGGCATATTTAGAAACAACTGCTTGAGATGATTGTTAGATTGCAAATCAATTAATTCAAGCTGCAAATATGACCTCACTGCTTCACAGTTTACGTTGAAAGCTTTGGTAAAAATATCCAGTTCTTCTGTTTGAATGGCACTGAAATCTGCGTTCGAACTCAAAATGCAGCTTTTTTTCAAGCCATCTTCATAATTCTTAAGCTTCTCTTCATTTACTGAGGGTATTGAATTTAACCTCGGGAAATGAGACAGGTCGTTCTTAGCTAGATGCCCAGTAAACAGATTAAGTTTTATTAAATTTTAAGTTAATATAATTAAGTTTTTTCTAAGAGGTCTAATTCACCTATATTGGATTCCCATATTGAAAGCCGTCTGTGCTTGCAATTTCCATCGTTTTATGTTTTGTAGAACAAAAATAGAGAAAGTAAAAAATGTCATCAGTCCTTTGAAAAAAAGGAGGAAAAAAAAATATTTAAACAAAGTTAGAAAAGGAGATGGATATATAATATATAAATATATACCTATTTTAATTTGTCTCGGGCCGGCAAATTAAAATTCTGTTCGCGGGCCGGATAGAAGCTTTCAGCGGGCTGTTGACCGGCGGGCCGTAGTTTGCCCATCCCTGGTATGGGGGATTTTCCGGACACCCTATAGTATGAAGAGCTTCTCTGCCAGCGCAGGATCAAAAGAGTTTCGACTAGTTTCGACTATTTACCGATGTTGACTACTATATGCCAATGTCGATCCTTAAAGAAATAATTTAATCAATTTCTTTCCTTTTTGATTATGCACTGTTGCCAATTATTACCTAATCATTGGCTACCTTATGCAATGCCCTTTGTTTTTCAGTGTCTTTGCTACACCGTGTTGATGCTAAGCTGGTGTCGCCTGTCAACAGTATCGATTATATGCCTATGGCACATGTGGAATAATCGTCTTATTCATTACTGCATTATTATCAAAACTTCAGTTGCACAGCATCGGTGGTTATTCCGGTGTCATCCCATGTTGGTTCTACGCCATGACGATTCTATGGAGTATGGGTTCTACGTAGTGTGGCTATGAATGTTACCCTCTTAAATTCTTCCACCCGGTCCCAGTTATGTTCTAAAAATTTTGTAGCCAAATGTAGTTGTAAATCGGTTCTAACACTAACCCTTGTACCGCATAGTTCGAATAATTTTTATATGAATAATTGAAATAGGTGGTAAAGAAAACTAAAGCAGAAGCAACTTGAAAACATGTTTTGCGCTTAGAATGTACGAACATCCATTCCGGTTTTTCTGTCGTTGTATTAATCTTCCGATTCCTTTTGCTGAATACTCTGTGTTTCCCTCCTGAGGGAAATACATCTCATATCGCGTTTTATCCTATGAAAATCTTCATTACTATATACAGTAACCTCTAAAACTGTAAAATAATCTAGCTAATTATTAATTAAGTTAATAATTAAGTTAATATACCTCTATTGGTGTATACCATTTGCTGATTAAAAACACACAAAACGAAGTGTATTGACATTTGATTTTCTTCATTTCAGACTAAAATTCGATGGAACAGGTGTGCACCATGCAAGTGTGGTGATTACATGTCCTTCATTTATTCAGATCAAAGCCGGTTCCGGTGCTTTTAGGTAAATTTTTCGTTCCAACGCTATTGTCTTCTCGCGGAAAATAGCACTTGTCGACTTTTTGGAACCATGTAAACAAAGACGGGAAGAATGAAAATTGTCACTTGTTACTTTTTTTTTTTTTTTTTTTTTTCCAGCTAACAGTCGGATTCGGCGAAAATTTGTTCTCCTTTCATATTCTGCTTGGCAGCTAAAATTATATAGAGAGGAGATCGTGGTCAGAAAATCTGGGATTCTTCTGTGTTTTTTCATACATACAGGTCATCCGTTAAGATTTTCTCCATATTCTTTTACTGTTCATAGCATAATCTATATTTTGATTAGTGACGCTTTAACCATTTTAACATTTTTGTTATTGGTGAGCTGGAAAAGGAATGGTCTTCATTTCTATCATCCTTTGAAGTAGTACATTTTATTCAGAGCCTAAATTGAATCGGAGACCGGTTGAGGTATTTCCTTACTTTTTGTGTAAAATTGTAATTCCAACCGGAACCCCCAAAAAGTCAAGGTCCAGTTCTTTATTTTAATATTAATTATTTACCATTTATTTAATAGCTTATTATATTTTTATTTATGTCTTTACATTTTATTAAATTTTAATATTCATTATTTAATTATTCTAATCATTAATGTTTTATTTTTAAATAATTATTTAATTGTTTAAGTATGAAATATTTTACTAGCCATTTTATTTATCAATTTATTTTTGTTCTTCTTTCCTGACAGTCTTATGTATGCTCACTTTTCCTAGGATAAGCAAAATAAATGACAAAATTTAAACAACATTTGAATATTTTAAATTTTGAAGAAAAATTCTTTGAAATGCATTGTTTTCAGGTAGAATTTTGTGCGCTGTATCCACCTGGGCAAAACGTTTGGGCTGTACTCTTTGGCGAAGAAGGCGAATTAATTTAATTCATCAATATTTTAATTTTTATTTAATTTTAATTATTCGTCATTTATGGCTTTATTTAATATTATTTATGTATTTTTTGTATACCATCCCTGCCATAGGATTCCGCACTTATATACGTGAGATTAAAAAAAACAATAATTCTGAAAACTAATCAAAACAAAGCTCTGTCTTATTTCAGTTTAATGGCCCTATATTTTAATAAAACTGCTTTAGCTCTTGGAAGGGAAAATAAATATTTCATTTCAATTTTATATTCAAAATAAATACGTTTGAAATAATGTTAAAAAAGTGACTAAAACATTCCAGCGCCTAGTAACTAACGCAAATTACCGTTTCATTCCAAGAATCGCATTCGTAGCACGAATGATAAACGCTTGGACGTGATCTTGACTCATCGAACCTGCTGATTGCATAGTTCCGTTTAAACCAGAATTGTTTTTATATCGCTCTCGTTGGCATAAGCATAGAAATTTAAAGTTTCCTAAGGTTGTGTTCAGAGACTTTTGCTTGTGTACTTGCTTCGAACTTAATTTTATAACAAACACACTAAGAATCGTATTTTTTAAAAGAAAAATTGTGTAGAATTATATTATTGTTTGTATTTTCGGTTTGCTGTATTGTTCGAGATGCTATTTTTTAAAAATTTATCTGTTTTTCATTTTTAAAAAATTACTTAAATTCTGATGAAAATTAGTCTCAGTACATAAGGCGATATTTTTAGACATAGCATTTTAGGAATGGCGTAACAACACATGAAGAAATTTTTTGTCTTATTCTGAAAGCTAAATTAAATTTCCTGATAAAACGATTGTACATGTTTTTTACGCAAGAACAATATTTTGTGTGAAATATTTTGAAGGAATAAGTTTTTCATATTGAAGTTATACTGCAACTTTTCCGTGGAAAATTTTCAGGAATAAGTCAAAATTCTGTCATAAGAGCGAAAAATGCGCGCTATCACTTTGTTGGCGAGAAATCTTGGCGACTGAAAAGTGAACGTACAAATACCACTATTTGCATACAAAAGGATTGCCAAGTGGAGAAGTGAGAGCTGTTAAGTATCAACACAGTATTGTGAGCGTTGGAAGTACTGAATGTAATTGAAGCTGTTTTCTTGTTTTCAAATTTCTTCTAATTTTGAGTCAGTAATAACGGATAATGGCGTGGACACCGTATCAAAAGATTTTAGCATTATTGATGGTTGTTACGGGTTCCATAAATACCTTAGCTACGAAGTAAGAAAATTCATGCTTTTGTTGAATTCATATTTATAAACGCCCACTATTCGTAATCAGCGGTCATAGTTTAAAGTAATTTAATTAAATCTTATGTCCGCATGATAGTTCTGCATTGCCATATGTTTTCAGCGATTTATTTATACTTATTGGTTCAGGTTTTAGTCTTAATATTCGTATTTCTTTCTAGCTTTGCAAAGTAAGGTACATCCGAATATTTGGGTATCTTTCATTTTCTGAATTGGCACTTTTGGCATATGGAAAAGTTCTCGACAAATCTCTACATTGTGCATGAAAATAATTCGAATAATTCTTATTGGCCATTTGTAGAATAACTAAATGCTTAAAAAAGTTGCATTATTTCACAGATTATGAATTTTAAACACAAAAGTATCTGGCTAATTAAAAGAATGCATCAACGTTAGTATATATGTCTAGCACATACAGGTGAACTGTTCTCACAGGTCTGGAGTTTGAGATCGTTTTTATTGTTATCCTGTTTATTTACCAGATTAAAGGAGTCTTACTGTTGCTGTGATAATGTTATTTTGACATGAACTTAAATTTGTGTTCCATTAAATGATGTTACTGTTATGAAAAAAAAAAAAAAAATCGCTAGTTACCTTAAAATGTCCACAATTATAACAATAAGTAGCTGCTTTTAATGCACAAAAAGGAATTATCTTTCTAGATAAGCAGTAGCACTTTTACAGTATGTGTAGGCTTTTAAAATGGTACTCTTTGTGTGACTTCAAAATTACTGCTATTGACATTCTGCTGTCTGAGATCGAAGGATTATGTAGGTTATCACAGTGTTCACAAAAGTGTCCAAAGGGACTGATGCCTTTGTAGAGGACCTTCTAATACAGACTAGTTTATATTTGTCTAACACATGGGGAAAACCATAAAAATTCCCTTGCAGCCAGCTTTGTTGCCAAGTTTTCAACCCGAGTCAAATTACCAGTGTTCTGGATTTTACTGTTTGGCCGCTGCTATCTAGGAGGATAAACTGAAAATTTATTTAGGTGATCTGAGGCAATGTTTCTCAACCACCGGTCTGCAAGAAATATTTTGCCGGTCTGCGAAATATCCAGCTAGCTGTCCAAAATCCAAAGTGTCATCGGCTGACAACTGATATTACAACAGCACGTACATTACAATAACAATAGTTTACTAGTTTAGAAAATAATATGATCGATGATGATTAATTTATGTGAAAAAATTGTGCCAATGAGATGAATTATTAAACTTACTGTCTGCGAGAACGTATCGAAATATTTTACCAATCCTTGGAGTAAATCCAGTTGAGAAACACTGATCTAAGGTACAATATGACCAAGAAGAAGTCTCCTCTACCTGTCTGTGTGTTTGCATAAGATTGTGTAAGATATTTTTCTAAAATGCGTTTCTGAGTCAATTTATCCCATCAAAAAAAAAAAAAAAAAAAAAAAAAAAAAGATATCTTTTGTTAGTTGCTAATGCATCCAGGCTATGGATGCTTCTGAGTAATCATCAGTTGGTAAGGTGCATGCTCGTTATGAACTATAATTATTGAGTACCAGTGTATTTTGGCCTAACTCTACTCTATTTTTGATAAACACTCGTAAATCAGAATCAAAGAAACCTTTTAGCTACCAGTCACTTGAAGATTTTCAAGCTGTGGAATTTATGTGTGTATTCTTTTGCAGAAGAATGTGTTTATGTGCTTATTCTTTTGCAACTTGTTGCTGTTTCTGTTCCTTACAGAAGCAATAGAAACACTAACAGGTTGCATCATTGATTTGAACTTAAGTCTATCAGTCAGGCTACCAGCCTTTACTAATCATTATACTAACTAACATAATAATTATAAAATATTGGAATTGCAGCATAATAAAGAACATTCAGTATTTTATATTAAAACATCTCTGTCACTGTTCATCTCTACTTGACTAAAATTTGTAGTGTCCGTAAATGAATAATTTATAGTTATTCTATGACTGTGAATCTAAATAACAATTTACTTTTATAAAAAGTGAATATATTTAGTCTATATTTTAGAAGTAGCATCATAAAAAATTGAAAATATTCTTTACATATTCTCTTGCAATGTAGTGGTTAGTATTAGAAGTAGAAAAAGCTGTTCTTTTATGAGATTAGATCAGAACCATTCACTCATCAAACAGCCAATCCTTTTTAATGACTTACCAACTTTTTTAACCACTTACCAACAATAATCTTGGAGAAAAAGATCAGGAATGGGATGATAATCATGAGCAGTGTTTTAGAATGGAGCAAAGAACAACAAATCAATTGAGCAACTTGATCAGGAGCCTCGGTCTAACTCAATTGACTCAATCTAACTACTACTAACTTCTGGATTGATTTCTTTCAGTTTTAATTTTGAATTTCCCTAAAATTTTCTTTCCACATAGAATTAATAATAAAATTCTAGAATTAAAAAAAATCAAAAACTGAGATAAAATTAAACACACTTTAAATATGTTTCTGAGGAGAAGCATTTCTTTCTTCCATAAAATAAGAATCAAACTTTCTTAGTACACTTCCAACAAGAACTCTGGGTGATTGAACTCCAAAAGAGCTACTATTTTTATGAATCACCATTTCATTCTTTGAGTAAAGTGAGTTGATTCTTTGAATCCCTTCACAAATGAATAACCCATCTCTAGTTAGTATAGCAGTGTTTTTTTTTTTTTTTTTTTTTTTTTTTTTCTGTAAAACTTTTTGGCTCCAAAAACTTAACATCTAAGTAAGAATGGCCAGTTAAAATTGCTTGTGGACCAAACCATAATAGCTACCATAAGATGAATTCCTTTGTGAAAAAGAAGCTTTTTAGAAGTTACTGCTGAATTTTTAAATATTATTAGTTGACAGTAAGGTTATTCAGAATCAGTAATTATATATTTATTTAAAACTTGTGACATTGCAATTTATTTTTAAAAATTGATATGAACAGTGAGATTTGTTTTTTTGAAATTTTTTACTAGCACTTCTGTTTCTGATGTTAAGCAATATCACATGGATCCTCAGAATGATAATAATTATATCACATGGATTTGATAATAGAGTTTTTTTTTTTTCTTTTTCAAAATACAAGTGCTACTAAGTATAGAACATGCCGTTAAGAACCCATTTTATCAGAATTGTGTATTGTTCATATAAGAGAGTTTCCACAAACCATATCTGTTTTCTGCATTACGTTGAGTATTAGATTACATCATAGAGCTCTAACTGTTGCATAGATAATGCAGTTTTAAGAAAGTAGATAAATTCTTGCAACTGAAAGTTTCACTGAGATAGTCTTTAGTAATGCATAGAAAAAAGTCTAAGCTGAATGAACTAGAGATGGCAAATAGATGATAGATTAAAAGTATTTATAAATCACAAAAGTGCCGAGAGTAAAAAAACAAAAGTACCGAGAGTTGCTTTAAACTCTAATAGCACAGAGGAAGCTCCTTATACTTGTATGAGCACATGTGAATGCTGTGAAGAAACAAAGGAAAAACAATTTTAACCAGTTTGAAATTTCTTGTAATTACCTTATCGTGGTGGAGATATAGTAAGTCTGACCTGATAAGCCACATTGAAATATTTTAGATTCATAAGACACATTGAAATATGCAGGTGTGGGTAGAAGTGGACAGAATACTAGAATTTCACCATTTATCATATATGTAGAGTCTTACCTCCTTAATTGTGCAGTTCCATCCCAATTTTTAGAGAGAATAGTCTGGGGATTGATCTGATTGGGAATGGTCTTCCCCACTTTTCCCCTACCTCCAACCTCTGAAAATATGTTTTGAGTGCCCTCTTGCCAAACAGACACTATACACTTAACAAACATCCATGCCTTCTCCAGGATTTGAAGCCAGGTCCATTGACCACTATATTGGTTGGGCTTCATGCTTCTCTGAGTAATCAAGTCAGAATAAGATAATTGAATAAGATAAGAGTAATAAACGGTACATGAGAAATGGCAGACTTATCATTTGGACAATGCAGAATTTTTTATTATTTATTATATATTTATTTTTTATTATATATAAGAATATTTTTAAGAGACCTTATCCTTATTATTGTTTTATCACATGTATTGTTTCAGTCAGCTGCAGCACTTTCACACATATTAAGTTGTTTGTTACAACATTTCGTGGATGTCAACTCCTCTGCCCAAGAATACATAAATCTAATAGCAGTGATAAATGATATTCTGGAGCTGCTGAACCAATTTCCAACATGGAGGCCCTTTTTCTTTTTTTCAATTTTTAACATTGCACCTCCAAATGGTTTTGTCTATATAAAGTGTCATGTTGTGGCCATTTTCGTATACTCGTTTGTCAGGTGAAAGACCTCTATCATGAAAAAATGATATGGCATCCACATCATTACTTAGTCAATTAAATATTGTTAACCTCATATTCACCCAAAAAAAGCAATGAATATATATTTAAATAAACAGTGCAAATCCCATCAAAAATGAATATTATAAGAACATATGTCGAGGTATAAGAACACACAGCCAGATTTTGACGAGATATCTTGGTTGATTGGTGATTCAATCTTGGGGGGCGGATGCTATAACAAAAAAGTACCAAACTTTATATGTTCTTTAATCATTATATATAAAATAGATTTTCTTTTCATGAAGCTTTATGTACTGCTAAGGTTGCTGTTATCTAGTTTGATTTTGCAGCAGGCATTTTTTGGTGCTGAGTGCACTTTGTTAGTAAAAAAGTACCATTTTATGCTATTTAATTACTGTTTATTTCTGTAACAGTATTTAATTTGTATTTTAATACTTTTTCCTTCATTTTAGGTGGGCTGACAGACTTTCCTCTATAAATAGTGCTGGAGAGCTAGCAAAGTTTAACCATCCATTTTTACAGGTTTAAAACTTCATATTTATAAACTAAAAACTCATTTGTTCTAGATGAGAAAATTAATTGAATCTAAACATTGAAAAACAAATGAAAATCTGCTTTGTATTAATACAAATAAAAATAAAAATAAGAAAGACTAAAGTAAGCCCCTCTTGTTCACAGAGAAAAGTATTTCTTGTTAGTTTACAGAGAAATTATGCAGTCCGAGTGAGATCAGATCCCTCTTTCTTTAAAAAGCAATAGTATTATTCTTAGAATGTAATTTACATGAAACATATATCAGTTTAAATCTGCATTACATTAAAAATGCGATCACTTAAACAATTTGCTGAAAAAAAAAAGAAAAAAAAAACTGGGTACACTTGGTACCAATTAAATATGTGAAAATAAAAAAGGGCAAAGTAGCATGGTTTTAACAGATAACTATAACAAATATTTCATTTAGTAAATTACTCTTTGAATGCAGTTACATATTAGTTAAAGCCACAAGTTACCAAATTTTCTTACTCTTTTTGGATGCAGTTACATAAGTACAAAGTAAGTACAAAGCCACGTTAGAACAAGTTACCAGATTTTCAGAGTGTTCCAAAATCTGGCATCTATATGCATAATAATTTTTCATTTATAACAAGCTGTATTGTTATTTTTTGTATGCATTCTTTTTGTTTTATTCCATGTTGCAGCAGTTTTTATAGGCAAATTATGATATTTTTAGCCCAAAGGGCATTAGCTCAGATGGGCTATTAATTTCATTTTGGCATTTTGCATTCAAAATTTTAAATGTTGGTTCACTTTTCAAATTGTTGCCACCAAATATTCTCGCCCTGTGTTATATTTAAAGAAATTAAATAATGAAGAATCTGCATAGATGTATGTACGTTTCTCGCATTGTGATAAAACAATAGTACCTAAGAGCCATAAAATTTTGAATAACGTAATCTTCCACCGAATATGGGCATCTGGAAGCCCAAATTTGGAATTTGATACAGTCAAAAGTTGTTAATCCGGACTCGTCGGGACTTCGGCGATTCCGGATTATCGATTTTTCCGGATTACAGATCATCAGTTTAAATCTGGTAAGATGGCATGCAGAAATTACAAAATTAAAAATATGAAACCGTAATTTATGAAATAAAGAACAATTATGAACTAAAGGGTATCAAAATTTACAAAAAGAAAAAGCTTAATATTTGTTTGTTTACTTTATTAAACATTTCTTTCAATGTAAGTTGCTTCATTTCATGTGATAATACTTTCTCTTTAATTCTATTAAACAGACATAATTTCTTGTTTAGTTACAAAGTTCTGCTGTTCAAGTCCTATAATTGCTGTGTTGAGAATCCGACTAATTTGTCAATCGAAATGTTTTCGTTTTCAATAACCTCTGGGTCACTACATTAACTGAATTTTTAGCTTAGCCTATCCCGTCCGTCACACATTAAACGCGCCTGCGCACAAACATATTCGCAGACGTAAAGGTCTTACGCGCACTATTAAACGTCTGTGCGCATGCGTGAACGCAACGCATGCGCAGAAAGTTTGTAGCTTTGAGGTCCGGATTATAGATCATTCCGGATTATGGGTGTCCGAATTAACGACTTTTGACTGTATTTGTTTTGTTATCGATTTCATATTTTATAACACTTCAACAAATTTTTTATTAAGAAACTCAGCGATTTTAAAGCAAGCAATGGCAAAACTGTACAGAAAAAAAAAAAAAAAAATAATTATCTCCAGTGTGCGAGACTGTGCATCGCAAATTCTAAAGATATGCTCATTTAAAAATTATTTTCTGATATTGCTGCTGAATTGAAATTTATGGTTTAAATACAAAGAATATGATATTTAATAACAAAAGGTAACACACAAAAGATTAAAAAAAGTCCTTTTTGGAGTAATGTAAAATCTGAAAGCTTTCAGATTTTTTAATATAATTTAATTCTTAATGAAAAATAAAATAATAAATTAAAATAGATAAATTAAAATTAATCTTTTATAAATTATGTATTATTGAATACATATTCCTCTTTTATTGTGACCCTGCATAATGAGATAGGCTTTATACTGAAAAATACATAAACTTATCTTACAAACACCTTTTACAAATTATAAGAAACCCTTTATTTGTCTTAAAGTCTATTTTAAAATATGTGCTTATGGGAGTTATCTGCAGTGGAAGAAAGGGGAATAAAACTTTTGCAGAAAAACCGTATTTTGCTACAAAATTTCAAATTTATTCTTAAAGCAATCAATCACCATGAAATTTCTATCAGAACAACAGAAAGAAAATAGAAAGCCTTTTTGTAAGTAGAGGTTTGTTAAATAATTTTCTGAATAAATATCTAATTAAAACATGCAATGTGTCTGTAATAATATATATGTATGCAATAAATGATTTTTTGCAAATATAAGTCAACATTCTTTTTCTTCTATAAACTGACTACACTAAAGATGTTGCTGTAATACATAAACGCCCTAAATTTGCACAACGTGTTTATTGAGTTGAATGTTCAATTTAAATTTCATTTATCCATCTTGATTTATGAAAAATGCAGTTTTACATTTCATGCTATATAGATGTATTTTTTACAGAGCTTAGATCTTTAGTGTAGGAATGCTTTTTAGCTTTTATTACTATGTCAATCTAAAATTTAAAATCTTGCTTCTTATTTCTTCTAGCTATCTTTTTATGCATATTCTTGCTCACTAATAAACTGCTGATAGAATAGTAATTGCATACAGATTAAAAAACTAATAATTTCAAATCATGTGAAAATGTGAATGTTTTTTCAGGCCTGTGGAATGTTCTTGGGAGAATTATCCTGCCTCATAGTTTTTAAGATATCCTTATGTGCAGAAAGAAGGAAAAAAGAAGGTGGAAAGCAAAACATAGGTTCAAATAAATTCAATCCTATAATTTTTCTTTTGCCTGCTTTGTGTGATATGACAGCAACATCAATTATGTATGTTGGATTGAATCTCACATATGCTTCAAGTTTTCAAATGTTACGAGGTAATTTCCAGCTAGAAATTTATTATTATTATTATTATTATTATTTCAGCCTTTTTCTCTTTGCTTCTTTAATTAAGAAATGAATTATTGGTTATTAAATTATTTTTAGGTGCTGTTATTGTATTCACTGGACTACTATCAGTTGCATTTTTAGAGCGGCGGCTGAAAGTATATGAATGGGTAGGAATTTTTATTGTTATTCTTGGATTAGTTTGTGTTGGTGCATCTGACATTTTTAGCCCAAGTTCAGAAGATAGTTTTGGTGCAAACAGCATTATAACAGGTAATTTTTTTTTTTATTTGAATGAAAATTCTGAAGTTTATAAAAATTAGGTGAATGAATGCTAATTCAGATTAGTTTTTCATGTAATGTCATTTTTGTATGAATGCAAATCTTTATAAAATTTTAGGTACTTTCTGATTATCTGCACCCCTGCTGAAAAAAGTATTCACAAGGGAAAGTAGTATGTCATGAAAATAATTATGTGGCAACCCATGATGTCATCAAAAAGTAGTTATATTGCAACAGAGATATGCTCATAGCAATGTTTGTTTGGTTCACAATACCAACATCGAAGAATAGCACAGTTTGTGCAGTTCTTTGATGTTTTTCCAAGGTGAAAGCAGATTGCTGTGTACATGTGGAGAACAGCAGTGCAAAAAAGAAGGATTTCTCAAAAAATTATTTTATTGCTGATGTTTGTTGCTTTCTTAACGTTTTCAAAATGGGAAGGCTATTATATTGGCCTTAGCATTCTCTGTTTGAAAGGGTGTGAAATGTCCTCTTTTGTGGTCATGCCTTTTTCCTCCTGTCAACTTTGATCTCCTCGGAGTCTTAAGCACTTTTCACCTTCAGATTTTTTTTTTTTAAAGAATCTAGTTTTCCTATCATTCCCTTTCCATTATTGCAGCTTCAGTCTCATTCATAAATTGTAAACAGAGCCTTGTGTGGAGTTCTTTTGCTTAAATTTATAACAATATGCCGAAACTGAAAAGAGGGCTGATTGCAGAAATGTGAAAGTTTCTACAAGAATTAGTGAAATGTTAAATTATACAACATCATAAAACACAAAATCATAATACTAGGTATTGAAGATAGCATCTAGCTATTGTGTAACTTCTTCCCATTCTTTCGCAAATTTTATACACCGCACATTTTTCCACTTCCATTTTGAAAGCTTTTTGCTAAAAAAAATATGTTATAAAAATGATGTATAATACAAGTTATCTTTGAACTAAACACTGCTAATTTTAAATTCTTGTAAATTTTTGCATTATGTTTTCATGCAGATTTTTAACTTTTATTTAGACTTGAGATTTTAACTTCTCTGAAATTTAAATTTAAACATTTCCATACAGTTTAAGTTTTTATTTTTTATTTTTAACCATTCCTTCTGTGGAAATATTAAAAGAAATTTTGATAATTTCAATAAAATATACAACAAAGCAAATTAATTATTACAAGGAAATATGGCAGTAAATAACATTTCCGTTTTCTGCAACATTTGCATGATGTTTCTTTGTTTGCCAAGTGATGAATGTTTGTAAATTTAAGAAATTAACTTCATAAAAATGTATAAAAAATTTCAGATGTATTAGATAATAAGATGGAAACCTGATTTTAAAAAAAGTCTGAATTTACAGCATAACTTTAAAATATAATATAATTATTTTTTGTTACCACTTTAAAGAGGTAACATAAATTAAAATCATTACTTCAAATCTCAGACTTTTTTTTTAAAAAAAAGGTATGAAGGAATAGAATGATATTTTCTATAATGGAAATACAGTCAAAAGTCGTTAATTCGGACACCCATAATCCGGAATGATCTATAATCCGGACCTCAAAGCTACAAACTTTCTGCGCATGCGCATAAGACTTTTACGGCTGCGAATATGCATGTGCCCGTGCGCGTAATACGTTTACGCTTGCACGTTTAATGTATAACAGACGGTAAGCTAAGCTAAAATTACCTAATTCAGTTAATGTTGCAGATTGCGTTGTTCCTTAATCTTCGAATTGGGTCCGCCTTATTATTTTTGCAGACTGTTAGAGCAATTTTATAAAAGTAAGCTTGAACTTTCGATTATGTGAAATAGAATTTCTGATATATATATTATTAATATGTAAAGGATCTACAAAGCGAAAGTATGTTTAAAAGTCCATTAAACAAAAAGTGGAATTGCTGGAAAAAATGGATAAAGGCATATCCTTCGTTTTTCAAACCATTTTGAAATCTGTTTATCAATTTCACGCTGCTCTGCGGCCCGGGGGGAAAGACGGCGAAACACCACGGCGCGCAATGAATTGGAAGTTAATCTGTCAGCACTATCCTTATCTTCAGAGCAGATGTTTTTATTTTATTTGGTTTATAATTCCTTACTAAATATAGTATTTCATCTCGATGTACTCCGTCTTTGATATGATTTAAATCAAATTCCTCGTCATTATAATTCGCTTCTGATAAAGAAGAAAGTGACACAGAAGTTATTAAAAATGAAAAAATTTCGATTGACAAATTAGTCGGTATTCTCGACACAGCAATTATAGGACTTTAACAGCGGAACTTTGTAACTGAAGAAGAAATTATGTCTGTTTATAGAATTAAAGAGAAAGTATTATCACATAAAACGAAGCAACTTAAACAACTTACATTGAAAGAAATGTTTAATAAAGTAAACAAATAAATATTAAGCTTTTTTTTTTTTTGTAAATTTTGATACCCTTTAGATCATAATTGTTCTTTTTTTCATAAATTACGGTTTTATATTTTTAATTTTATAATTTCTGCATGCCATCTTACCAGATTTAAACTGATGATCTATAATCCGGAAAAATCGATAATCCGGAATCCCCGAAGTCCGGACGAGTCCGGATTAACGACTTTTTACTGTATACATTCTCTTCTGCATATCAGTGAATAGTCTGATATAGGGACTTTTTAAAGGGTGGAAAGCATAAGGTAAGAAAAACCATGTCTTTTTAAGGATCTTACAGGTGTCAAATCTCGGGGTTCAAAAGGTTAATATTATTGATTAACTGTTCTTGTATGGCATTTTTTGTGTGGTACCATTTTGAACATGGTTGTTATCTTTTACTCATTAGCTGAGCAAAAAGTTAGTCACCATTGAGTTTGTGAATAGTCTCCAAGTTGTGAACTTGTTGCCAAGTTGGCAACAAGTTCACAACTTTTTGGCAGGATTGCAGATAATCAGAAAGTGCCAGATTTTATTTATTTATTTTTTATCTTTAATATGGTGTTTTATAATCAATCCTAGAAAATCATTGTACTAAACTTCATAAAGTTAGACATTAAAGTTTACAAATATAATCCAGATTGAAATTCTGTATGAATAATATAATTTGAAGCATAATAATTAAATTTTAAAAGTTACATTTATATTTTAAAACACAGATTTTGAGTTTGTAATTTAAATATAACTAAATTCAAAGTAAATATAAAAACAAAACTAACTAACTAAAACAAAATGAAAGTGCTAGTTTAACTGAGTCTTTTTTCTGTAGATTTTAAAAGAATGGAAAATCTTTTCAATGCTTAGGAAATTTAAAGAATACTCTCACGTCAGATTGATCATTCAGCTGTGAAATGATACTTTCTCAGTCTCATTTTTTAGACTAAAATTATGTGTTATCATTCGATTATGAAATTTTTGTATGAAAAATTCCAGGCAACAGTAAAAATTGTGGTGCTATCATTTCTTAAGGAGAAAGAATTCATGTGGTATGCAATCTACCACTTTTAGCAGTTACAGTATATTACCCATGTATAAGTCAACAAAGAAAAAGATCAAACTTCAAAGTTGGGGATCGATACGTGATCCTTTTTTTTTTTTTTAACCACTGCCGTGGTCGGCGAACTTGCTTATTAAATATATCACTCATGCAGAAAAAGCACAAAATTTTTATTTATTCTTTCTATTTTATGTATTAGTTTTTTTATTAAATTTGTTTCGATTTTATTTTCTGTTTATTAGAAAAGTGCCCCCCTCATTTCATTTCATTAGCTGGCCTCACAGAGCAGCTAATCACAGAGCAGTGTGTACAATATCTGTGAACACTTTATTATTATTATAACCATATTGAATCAGTAAATGTAACCATACCAAATGTCTATCTGTCTATTTATCTTTTCCTGCTTTTCGTAATGTTCGATTTAGTGGAATCTACAAAAATTGCATGCGTCCTGCAATGAGGTGTGTAAAACAAAAAAGAATGTCTTACACTGTGAAATTCAAGCTGAAAGTAGCTTCATTTGCAGAAAGTACGAACAAGTAAAGTGTAATTTTATCAAGTACATCAGCATGCTGTTTTATCAGCTGTGACTCCGCCGCTCACATGACAAATTTGTTTTTCCGAAAAATTTTCTCAAAAATTGGGGGATTGACTTGTACGCGGGGGTCGACTTATATGCGGGTATATACAGTACTTATTTTGTAAATGGCAGCACTAAAATTTATTATTGTTTTAACTATTTCTTTTGCCACCATTTTATTGCACATTTAAATTAAAAAATAATGTTTTATAAGTGCCACCTAAGCTTACATACTTTAATGATTACCAACAGTTTTTTATATTGCTGAAGTGAAAAAGTCATTTTATTCCCCCCCAGAACTCCTAAATCAATTTGAATTGTTTGTTTTGAAATTTAAAAAAGTAACATTTGGAGTTAGTCACTAGTGATTACACTGACTCTGTGATACTTTAAATTTTTCTGTTTTAAACAAATATTCTGTTCTAGAAATTTCTGTAAAGATTTTCTATTAAGGTAATTGCATCATATTTATTATTGTTAAGTAATTTATACAGTATTTTTATTAAAGACAGTATCTTTATTAAATCTTTATTATTAATTACAGTATCTTTATTAAGTATTAAATTATTTAAATATATTTTACAAAGATGTTAGATTGAGCAGTATGTTTCATTTTTATTAGGATAAACAGTTTTATTATGTAGAAAGAAAATACATGAAAATGTTAACTTTTAACATTATAAAAATTTCAGTAAAATTATTGAAAGACTAAAATTAAAATAATGCTGTACGAAGCATCCCTCCCTCCTCCCTCCCCCCCCCCCCCCCGAAAAAAAAAAAGAGCAGAATCATTACTAAAAGGAGGAATCAAGAAGCTTTGGATATTGATATTGCATCTGTAGAACTGTTAAAAAATTTTCTAATTTGTACAAATTCAAATTTTGATTCTTGAATTATGTAGAGATGTTCAATATATGACCCAGTTGCTAATCTGCAAATAATTTTCATCTTTTTAAAATCATAATTATTAATAACCTGCTGTTGACCAGAAATCTCAATATTATTTGCTATACATAAAATCGCAATAAATTATGCAAGAGAGAAAAAAATCTTTCAGTTACCAATATAATTCAATCCCATGAACCCATTTAATGCAAGCTGTGTAAAAAAATGAGAATTCAGTTTTATTGTGATTTTTCTAGGTGATCTTTTGATTGTGATGGCACAAATTATTGTTGCAACTCAGATGGTTGTGGAGGAGAAGTTTGTAACAAAACACAGTGTTCCTGCATTACTAGGTGTAGGATGGGAAGGTCAGTACAAAAAAAAATTAATTTACATTCATTCCAATTTATTTTACTGTTTTGAATTTTTTTAATTCAGTCTATATGTTATTAATATGGTGAAGCATGTTGTAGTAAAAGCAGGAGGAGGTGGGACCAAGTAAATTTTAAAATAAAAATAAAATTCTTATTTCAGGTAATTGTAGGAAAATACATATGCACAGAAAGTAGTATATTCTATTACAGTTGGACTTGCTTAATACGAGAACTCAGAACCCATAATTCATTCTTATTAGCCATTATTCCTAATATTCAAAAATGTTGTTGTTGCATATGGCTTTATTGGAAGGGTCAATCCAAACATAGAAAACAGCTCAAATATCACAGAACAATGATATATAATAAAAACAACAAACATTTAAAGTACAAACTGGAACAAATAAACATGGGAACAAAAGGAAAAAAGTTAAAACTATGAACAACAAGGAAAGGAATATAAGAGATGTAGTGTTTACAAGTTCATGAAAGCTCTGGTATTCCAGTATAGTTTTTTTTATCTTTTTTGGGGGAGGGGTGCAGTGAGGAGGCTAGATTTTTTACTCTAAAATTTAGAAAAGGAGATAATGCTATATTTTGGAACTTTATTCTATTTAATTATTGCTGTTGGTGTGTCTGTTGTTATCAGTTTTATTGTTTTATAGTGGAGGAAAGGTGACAAGTTTTTTAAAGAATTTTTTCAAATGTTGATCTTGCTTACCATAATTTTCTAATAGTTGTAAACATTTTTATTAAAAACTGGAATAAGTCTATCCTTTTGAGTTGTGATAGAAGAGATATGATGTATGACCTAGACAAATAGCCTGTTCCCACACTAGAAATATAGCACATTGTGAGAATCTACATGCATATTCCAAACACTGACTATTATATATAATTTGCAGGTGTATACCTTTTATTTCTAATCACAATCCTGTCTATTATGTTTGGCTGTTACACTTTCATTTAATTTGTACTAAAGACATTTGCTACAAGATCTAGTTGGGAACTGTGTAGTAAATGAGGTGTATATCACCCATCTCAGCATTAATGTAGCAATGCATTCTACAAATCAAAGGACAGTGATGGCTCCTGCTGTCAAACAGTACAACCTTTTACTACTTTACTCCAATATGAATGTGGTTTCTTGTATATACCTACGAAGTTTTATACAGGTGATTTTGAATTATTGTGTGTATATATTTATACAAGTAGATAGATTTTGATTTATTAGAAGAGCTATGACATTAGATTTGTACTTTGTTGTGGGTGAAATTTTATACATTAATTTACCATAATGAAAACTGCAATATTCTAATGTATCATTTATGTTGGTATATTTTCGTTTGCTGTAGCTAGAAATAAAACTGAAAATTTTGTAATTTGTTTTTATTCGTTAACTTTAATTATGTAACTGACTTTTAGATTTACTTACAAAATTCAAATATTCCGTGGCCATTAATCTTTTGTATAAAAAGTGGAATGTTAAAAGTTATATGAATCACCTTTATGTCATATTATCTGTTTGATAATTTGTAAAAGCAATTTTTTTTTTTTTTTTTTTTACTGTCACAGTAGTACAAAAGCGATATTTTTTCCACGTGAGATATAAATACAGGTCAGTTTCTTTTGAAAGGCTTTTCATGAAGCATCCCTTGTTATGGCCAATAACCCTAGCATACTTCACTATAATTAAATAAATTAGTTTTGCCGTAATGACATGGCTGGAAATATAGATTACTTGATAAATAATGAGTTCAAAAATAGTGATTTCTATATCTTACCTAAAACATATAAACGTTTTTCCTAAAAATATGTAAAATTAGATTTTATTAGATAAAAATAATTTTTATAGCTAAATGTATAACATACAAAACGGCATATAAAAATGTGATTAAATATATATCTTTTTAGGTCTATTTGGTTTTGTTATTTTATCAATACTACTGGTGCCAATGTATTATATAAAAGCTGGTAAGAGCATCTTTAGTAATCCTGGTGGAAGAATGGAAGATGCTCTAGATGGCTTTGTTCAGTTATCTAATAGCTGGCAAGTAACTTTGGCTTTTACAGGTGAGAAAATGTTTGATTCCCCCTGTTACTTTTTTACTGTATTTTTAATTGAAATGTGCAAGTTTTCTATTTTATGGAACTATTTATTAGATTATATATTTATTTATTCTTACCTTGTTATAAATAAAATAAATAAGACATTTGAATACAAAAATAAAATATTTACTTTCACTTTATTTGAATGCAAATGCTTATTTGATTACACAGTAATTCCATTATGTGCTTTATAAGTAGTTCAGAAAATATTACCAGATTAAAAAACTAATGAACTTCTTATAGTAAACAAGAAATATATATTTACAAATATATGCACTCATAAATATTTACAAATACTTCAGAGGGAAAAAATATAAAAACTCATAATATAGTCAAACATATCACTATAATAACCAAAATTTTATTTCAATAAAAAATTTATTTTGTTTTGAAAATACTTTTTATACTCATTTAAAAAAACATATTGGGTTTTAATGAAAGTTTTCTGCCACCACAAATATCTTCTGCACAAACAGTTTACGTTGCCATGTTTAATCATATTTTTTCAAACAATTTTTGCCGTTTGAAAGAAAGAGACTTTCTTTAAAACACTGTGTTGTGAAATTTGCAAAAAAAATACCGTTATCATTAAGGCGCCTAAAATGGAACTATCATGCTACCAGATTAGAACCATCATTTACTTCCAGTTCTGTTGCAAAAAATCAGCTACAGAATGTCACCAAATCATGTATACAGCTTTAGGTACTAATGTTGTATGATATGGCACTCTGAAGGTTTGGTACCGAAAGTTTAAAAAGAGCACTCTGGCCAGCCTACTGATGTTGATGAGGTCACCTGCGAGAATTTGAAGAAGATCAGTATGCAACCACTCAAGAGCTTGCTATGGACATTGGTGCCATGTCCATTAGTCGTGCTATGCATTGCATAAACTTGACGTACAAGTTCAATCACTGGATGCCGCATGAGATGACTGAAACATATAAGAATAGACATGTTCAGGTATGCACTAATCTGCTTGAATATCAATATAAGGGCAAAATTCTAGACTGGATCATCACTTGTGATGAAAAGTGGATTTACTTCAACAACACGAGCCGAAAAGGGGTTTGGTCTGCACCCGGTAAGCCTGTTGGCAGCGTCGCAAAGTACAGTTTGAATATTAAAAAGATCATGCTTTGTATATGGCAGGTTTGCAGTGGTATTATCTACAAAGATTATCTGGAAAAAGGTAAAACCCTAAAACCCTTGACAGTAAGGTGTACAGCAAGATGCTAGTTCATATTGATGCTGTTATCAAGGAAAAATGTCGAACTGAGTTGCGGTGCAAAAAGATAATGTTTCATCAAGATAATGCATACACTGGCTGGACTCGGTATGAACTCGAATACGTTCTTTTGCCACACCCACCATATAGCCCGACATTTCTCCTTCAGGCTTCTTTTTTCACACCTTTAATACTTTTAAAACTAAAAAAAATGATCCTCCTAAATTTTTCATCATCATCACCATCTAACAAACAGGTGACTACTGATCTATCAATTCAGCACCTTTATTTTTGTTAATTATAAATATATTCAAATTTCATGAAAATTCCAAAACTTTTATAATACCAACAATACCTAAATGCAAAATATTAAAAATATATAAACACAAAGTCTAAAAATAACATAATAATTAAGTACTACAGTACAAAGTCCGTAATCCGGACTCGTCGGTACCTCAATTCCGGATTAGGGTTCCCCCCCCCCCGGATTATAGATTATCAATTTAAATCTGGTAAGATGGCATGCATAAATTATACAATTAAAAATATGAAACCCTAATTTATAAAATAAAGAGCAATTATGATCTAAAGGGTATTAAAATTTACAAAAAAAAAAAAAAAAAAAAAAAAAAAGCTTAATATTTATTTGTTTACTTTATTAAACATTTCTTTCAATGTAAGTTAAGTTGCTTCGTTTTTTGTGCTAATACTTTTTCTTTAATTCTCTCTTCTATAAACAGACATAGTTTCTTGTCCAGGTTAAGTTACAAAGTTCCATTGTTCAAATCCTGTAATTGCTGTGTCGAGAATATCGACTATCTTGTCAATCGAAATTTTTTCGTTTTCAATAACCTCTCTGTCACTTTCTTCAGTATGGGAAGTGCGCATGTGTAAACGCTTTACTGACATTCGTAAGTTTGTCGCTTTGAGGTCTGGATTATAGATCATTCACGATAATGAACGTCCGGATTACGGACTTTGTACTGTATAATACAATACAGGTATACTATAAAAATGACATAGGTGCTCAAGAAATTATACTGAAATCATATATAATCTTATGCATGCCAACAGATATATGGTGCTTGCTCATATTGCCTAAATACTATACACTTGATTACTTATTTATTATTATTTGTTGTAAGAAATTTACATTTGTTTGACATAGCTTGTTGTAACAAACTATGGTATTTTGTAATAAAAAAATTGTTTCACAAAGCCACTGTGAGAAAGTTCAATCATGTTTATGAAGACTGTTGTAGTATACTTAAAATAAAAGGGGAGAAAATATTAAACATAAATAGCGAATAATAAATGAATTTGGCTGAAACACTTAAGTGGCAACTAAAAATGTATTGAATTTGTTGAAAACATTTCTATGGCAATTAGATATCTTTGTTTTGTCATGAAAGCTTGACTTTTTGCTTCTATAATGGTCACACATATTACCCAAACTAGAGATTGTTTTATGTATTGTTTGGTTTGATGGAAATTTCAAATTGAAATTAGCATCATATGAATTCTCTATTTGATTGTATTTTACATTTATCCTTAGTATATACATAATACTCAATTTTTAACATTGTGGGGGCACAGTAATGCTGTCTTTTATTGTGATAATATTTAAATAAACATTTAACTTGTGTCCACAACTCGGCAACCATGAATACAAGATATTTAATGCATTTGACTTTTAAATATTTGACAAAATAATGCAGTATACAAATTTTAACTATATTAGGAAAAATAAAAAAAATATCTGCTTTCCCCCCATAATATGCCTTTGCTGTACTGCTTTCTGTGCTTAGTGTTTGTGCTAAGCATAGAAGACTACTACTGTGGTCTTGTGATTGAAATTTGAGCACATCACTTTCCTTACTGCTGTGACGATGTAAAAACAGCCACTTTGCTGCACCCCTGAAGAAGAAAAATAGTTATTTGATTCCTCTGGTCCAAAGGTATGTCAGGCTTAAATTCATTAGAGACTTTCAACACAATATGGGGGACACTGTTGTCCTGCATATAAAAGTATGTTAAGGGATTGAGAAGTGACTGGATACCCAATAATGTGCACAAATACTGAGAACATTCCGCAAGCTTGAGAGGTGATATGGATGAACCAGTAAGTTACCATCGATGAGGTAATGTGTTTGCATATTAGTGCTGGTTCTGCCTATCAGATCATCAGTGTCAATGATGACATTCACACCTGTAAAATCTGTGTACGATGTATTGCATGAGAACTTACCAGAGCATGAGATCATTGAAACCATTAACTATTTAAGTTTTAAGGTGATGGCAAACACCTTATTCAAAACCAAGGAACTTGTCCCAGTCATGTCTTAGGACAACTCAATACTTTGTGTGGTTTCTAATTTTTGTGAACAAAGAAGTGTGGAAGCGCGTACATAGCATCTGCAAGTGGAAATCATTTTATTGCAAAGACTATGCAAGCTTGTAGACTTTTGGTCCAAATGCAAATGAAGAAGACTTCATGGAAAAATGACATACCCAATCAACCCTTATTTTTGTACAAATTAATTGGAAAAACAACAGTGTGGATAATTTCACTTATTATTTTCTTGAACTTTGAAATAACTTTGAAGAAGGAAATTCTAAAATTGTGGAAATTTATTGAAAGAACATTAAAAACATGAAATAATTTGGGTTTAAAATTAAAATTTTAGATATATAGTTCAACTATCTGTAACCCTGGTTGGCATTCTGCCAAAACACATAGACTCACCCAAGAAGGGCAGTATTACTTGCTGCGACGTGAAAGGTTTTCTCTTCTTCGGAAAGAGCTATGTTGGAGGGAAAGAAAGTCCCCATCCTTCCACCCTATTTTAAGAATAATTCGGTCCGAATGGTGCATGCGTGTTTGCGCTCATGGTCGCGGATGAGGCGGTCGAACTATGTTAGGTGTAGTTAAAATTTAAAAGTAGTTAAATGTGCGACTTTTAAATTATATTTTAATTTCAGAGAACTTTACAATTCATAATTTTCAAGGGAAAATATGAGTGAAAATTATGTTAAATCCTTTGCATGGAAAATAAACTTTATTTTAAATATTATAAACATCAGAGCTATTATGGAAATCAGCAAAAGTATTGTTTCTAAATAATTTATTTTGAGCATTTTCTGATGTAAACATCAAATAAAAAGTGCACAAAAACTTAGAATGCTTAAAAAATAAAGTTTACTTTCTTTAAATCAGATATAGTACAGCATAAAGTCTGAGATCTGGACACATCAAGACTTCAGAGATTCCAGATTTTGGATTTTTTTTTCTAATATTAGATCATTAGTTTTAATCTAGTAAGATGACATATAAAATTATTAAAATTATTTATGAAATAATGAAATATTTATGACCTTAAGGGGGACAAAATAAAAAATATATATTTGATTGCATTGATTTATTGATATTAAACATTTCTTTCAATTTAAGTTTTTATTTTTTTCTGTTTTTGTACTAATACTTTCTCTATAATTCTATAAGGTAGACCTAATTTCTTGTTTAGTTACAAAGTTCCATTGTTCAAAATCCTGTAATTTCTGCTTCGAGAATTTCCACTAAATTAACGATTGAAATCTTTTCGTTCTCAACAACATCTCTGCTACTCTCTTCATTTATTGGTAGCAATATTTTCTGGATTTAGAACCGTACTATAGCTTATGCCCTCCGTTAGTCAACTGATGATTGGCTATTATCATAAAGCTTAGCTAGTGTCTGCCATCTACTATTGGCAATGCATAACAAGATTAGTAACTTAGGAGGACTTGGTATCTTTCGAATGTTTTTTTATTTAACAACTTTCCTCTACTTTTTATGAATAATATTAAAGGGTTTTATAAGACAAAATAATTTCAAGCTGGGGGAAAAAAAAAAAAAAAAAAAAAAATGTTAGTAATTCTTTTTAATTTAAATTAAAAATTCTTTCTTCCACAGTTTTCAATGCTTTTTTGCCCCAATTTACTGTTTATTTGCAATAAACATAGCTCACGTTTTTTTTTTTTTTTTTTCAGGGACAATTGTAAGTATTGCATTCTTCAATTTTGCTGGACTAAGTGTAACAAAAGAAATGAGTGCAACAACTCGAATGGTCTTGGACAGTGTCAGAACTTTTGTTGTGTGGGTTTTCTCTTTGGCTTTGAAGTGGCAAAAGTTCCATTATTTGCAGTTAATAGGATTCATAGTACTTTTTATTGGTATGTGTCTCTATAATGATGTAATTATCCGACCCCTGTATCAAATGATTCGTGAGAAGTCTGACAAAAGTAGAGAACATGAACCTCTCATAAGAAATTCTGATGAAGAATCCTCAGGTCCTGTAGCAAGGTCATCATCCATTAATGCTTGATACCTGAACTTATATATATATTTTAATGTATAGATTTTGTACATACTTCCTTTTATTTATTCATATAAAATAAATATTTTACTCTATCATCAGTCTCTAATTTTATATCATTATGAGACATGTTATACCATACATTTCTTCCCCATGAATAGAAAAATTTACATTCCCACATGCTGTGCGTAATATACGAGTTGTTAGTATCATTTTGGGACACTGCGTATCAGCACTAACATTGGTCAGATACAAATTATGTACATCACCAGCTTTTAGGAGTACTGGCTGCCGTAATAAAACTTCAGTTTCATGCCATATTCTCTGATTTATAAGCAAACTCTGCACCCATATTGCAGGTGTTAAATTACTAAACATAGTCATTTTTGGAGTATTTTCTTTTACTAGTGTTAATGGTAATTGGAATGGAATATCACTAGTAAGTAAAGTAAAACGTAAGCCTATTAAATAAATTGGAGCATCCACAGAAAAACGAAGACAGCTGAGGTTATCTCCAACAAACTTATAATAAGTTTGATGCGCTTCAAATTCTAAACGTTGTGAATACAATAATAATGATTCCTGAACTGAAAAACCTATTCGGTTTCTGTTATTTGGCTTGACACATGAAAGCACTGAAGGTGGAAGAGCACTTTTATCTGCATCAGACATATCATCAACACAGACATGCTGAAGAAATGGTTTCAGTTCTTGCAATATGTTAGCTTCAGTAACTGCTTGTCCACTGCGGCAACATTCAAGCTGAGCCCACCTCAAAAGAGTTTCAAAAACAACTAGTTCACTGTCTATATTCAAATCTGAGCTGGCAACTATATCTATAACACAATCTTTACTCAATGTTTTAAAAGCACTACTTCTCAATACTATAAATCCTGCATCTAAAATGAGTCTAAGACATTTGTCTTGCAAAACTGGAAGAGAAAAGGCTGATGCTTTATCATAAATATAGCAAACATTTGAAAGAGATACAACATCTTCTAAAAATCTACCACATTTTTGAACAAGACCTTCAACTTTGTATTTAAAAGCTGCCTGAAGTAAATCTATACCTTCGCTCCAAGTTTCCACCTCTAATTTTCCACAATACAAATATCTGTGAAATTAAAAAAAAAAAAAAAAAAAAAAAAAAAAAATTGTCTTTCAATTAAAAATATATAAATAAGTTGATAATACAACAAATATTTATGATTTGTAGTTTTTTTCTAATTTTTATTTTTAAGAGCTATATTTACTATATACATAAAGATGTCATTTTTTATATTGATAATATATAAAAAGAAATCTCCAGTAATTCATGCATTCCATAAAAGCAAATTTCATTCTTTTAAAATAATTTTCTCTTAACAAAACTTGCACAAATAAGTCATAATACAAATATAATTAAAATGAAATTTTGAACAATACTGCCATTTCAAACTTTTGTAGGATTCTTAATGTAAAATTACAGTATTAAAATCCTGAAGTAGGACTTAATAGAACTTTGAACAGGTTAGGCTAAATTTTGTTTTGCAAAAGATTACATATCTTTACAATGTATATATAGTTTTTGTGTTTATACAGGGTTATTCATCATTTCCTCCAGAGGGAATGATGAATGAGTTTAAGAAGGCTATAGTTCATCAGCTATTGCCCTGTCATAAGAGTGCACATAAGCAGCATTAAAGTCTATGAACCATAGAAGGACTCACATTTAGCCATCTGCCCCTTCTGTCTGACTTTGTCGTGCCTCTAGTCTCCCAATAGCTCTCCATTGCAGTCCTTCCAAACAAGTGATGCCTGGAGATCATTGTTATGGATTGCCTATCCTAGTTTTCTTATCTCAGTATCACATTGAAATTTGCAAGCAATTTTATGACAAAAGCAATTTTATGCAAAAGCAATTTTATGATAAAAGGCAATTTTATGCGACAAAAGCAGTTTTATGCGCCTTGCAGATAATGTATTCTGATCACAGTGCCACTAATTTGCACAGTGTAGTTTTACTCAGCAACTTCTTATCAAGAAAACATATTCAGATTTTATACGTATTGGCTTGTTTTTGAATGGGTTATCGTTATTTTTCCTTAATTTTTGGAAACCACTGTATATGTATATACCCACCCTCTTACCTGGCTTGGTGAGCTCTGTTTTTTTAAAATTCTTATATGTTGGTAAATTGTGCATTCTTTGCTTTAAAAGTGATTGAATTAAGCTGTTCTTAAAGTGTTGAATAATGTTGTTATCCGATTAAGCTTTCCATGTCTTTAGTTAATCTGCATGCAATAGTTCTAGAATTATCAACAATTTAAGAGAGGCACTAGGCCTAACATGGTCGTTATGTGTTTACACTTGAAACCCTTGGTAGTATAGTGAATTCAGTTAGTGCACCAAATTCAGCATCCTTTTGTTCAGTGGTTTGTTTTTGCATAGAAACTCTAATTTTAATTGTAAATTTTTTAAAAAAACATGCTTTTAAATGTATTTGGTGTTTTAATATTTTTCTGAATTTCACAATTTTTAATGAAGATGTTTTGAGTTTTTATGTATTTTTGCCTTGCCGTGAAGGAAGAACTGAATTGATTGAATGAGAAATATATCTCTAATTAAATTCAAGGAAATAAGTTTAAATGAAGTGCAGCAAAAAATGTGTATAATTTAGTAGGCTTTAGAAGGAAGTCATGTAGTGTCCATCAGATTTTTTTCTTGATGCAGACATGAAGTAAGCTTTTTCTTACTATACTGAACCTTCTGAACACAAATATGCACTTAATTTCTAAGACTAGCTCTTATTTAGAAGTGACAACAAAATTCACATTACATTCTAATAATACTTATATGCATTGTTTTCCTATTAATTCAACATAATTAAAATTTACAAAAACTAAATATGCTTTTCTTTTTACTAAATCTTACCTTCTGAACACGAATATGCCCTTTATTTTGGAAGACTTGGCTTTTGTATAGAAGTTACAGCAAAATTTAAAAACATAATTTTTCTTACTGTAATAATTCTCTTTTATGGATAAATACAGCAGACAAAAGCAAAATACTAATGAATATTTGAACAAAATATTATGAACTTAAGGCTTTGACAAAGCCTGTACTCTTTAGCTTGCTGTGCATCAGCACTTCTAAAACCCCAACAGAAATCAGGTAACGCCTTTGCACTTGACCTCCCCATTGACAGCCAAGTACATTCTTATTTAACAAAAAGATATGCTTCTTCCCCCACCCCCACAAAAAAAAATGTACAGTCATACATTTTATTCTAAATATTTGGTTCTCCTATTTTTTAATCGCCATTCTGAACTCCCCTTAAAAAAAAAAAAAAAAAAAAAAAAAAAAAAAAAAATTATTATTGCTTATGGAGGTGCAACATGAAAAGTTGCAAATGAAAGAAAAGCATATGTTTTGCCCAACTGGTCGGTTGGTTTCAGAATACTATTTGTAACAGCATAGCGATTTATTTACTATTGGGCAGAGAAATGGATGTTTATTGTGGTGGGAAAAAGAAACTCAGCCTTTGAAAATACAACTGAGTGAAACAGTTTTGACAGAAGTACAGTCTCTACATCTTATGCAGCAAATAAATAAGCGGCCCCCAAAAAATTGCAAACATAAATGAAAATCTGTTTATACAATGAAAAAAAAAAAAGCCAGCAGTAGTCTTCTACAATACTGAATAATTGGCATACTATGTTAAGACACTGGTGAATTCTCTCTCAAATGTTTCACATAGAGAGGTAACCCCAGTCATGGCGAAAATCATTGATCATATACAAGAGGAACTGAGGATTTATTCAGAATGTTGGTGAGCATATAAAACAGAGAAACTGAAAAAAGCAGATTCAAGATATTTTACTGTGAACCATAATCCAAAGACAGCTGCTCGTGCATGAAATGTTGAAAGACTGTTGCTTTGTTAAGTGACAGAATAAAAATCAACGAGGCAAGGTTTACCATCATCATGAGTCATAATTTAGAGTTTATGTGGGGAAAGTCCTTGGGACAAGAAAATACTAAATTGGTGCCATATTAAAAGCAATGATAGAAATATGGCAGCCACAAAGGATATATGAGAAATAAACATGAACTTAATGATAATTTGGTGCCAACTTTGTGCTTAAAAATGTGGTTTATAATACAGTACAAAGTCCAAGATCCGGACCTCAAAGCCATCACCAACTTTTTTTTATCGGTATGCTTTATGCATGCACATTTGATTTCTCCTCTCTGCGCATAATAAAGCACATAGAGAGTCTCCGATTCTTAATTTCACTTCGGCACTAAATAAAATACATCATTATTGAAGAACCAAGCACTTTATGATAAATCTGTATGATCAATAATTTGTCCCTTTGCTTTGTATCTGCTTGGCATGCATCTCAAACCGAAACATTCTACATAGATACATCACTGATTTTACATGTACTAATATTATATATTCAATGCCAACTTGGTGAATTATTATTTATTATATTTTGCTTTCATCACTGCATGTTTATCAACACATGACAACTTGAGTAATGACTCATGTAGAGATGCCTAAACAATTTTTTTTTTGTGTTAGTAATTGAATAATAAAGAGTATGGTAATCTTTTATGTTGACATTGTACTTGGAGATGATTACAGATTTAAGTTAAATGCACTAAGAAATTTAAAAAAATTAACAAAAATTTCTTTGCATATGCTAAAAATAGATTTTGCTAATAATACTCATAGGTCAAAAGATTACATTTAGTGCTATTTGAATTAAGATTAACTGATTTGTTATTCACATAAACCCAGAACCAGTGCCAGGGCTCGTATGCCCCGCACCGGGCAGCAGAATTTAGGGAAGACAAAGGGAAATGTTTCGTAGCACAATTTAAGATCCACAGAGACTGCATCATGCAGTAAGATATCTAGCACCTGCAATCAATAAGTATATGTGGGAATTTATTTATTCAGGACTCTGATAAGCCTTAAGCATGTGCAAGAAATAGATATAAGTATAATAAATAACTAACACAATTCAGGCTTAATTGTCTCAGTGTGCGATAGAAGCAAGATAAAATTTAGCGGAACAACTTGTCGTTAGTTGCCAGTCTCATGATTACATAACCAAATATGTATAGTGAACAATAGCTACATTTTATGATGATAGCCACGAATTTTAAAAGTTTTCAGATATTGCAAACCAAAGGTAAAATTTTCCAATTAATGCATTTGGTAAAGATAATGTGGAGAAGTGGTAATAAATAAAGATGATACAAAAGAAGTTCTTCATTGTGATGACAATGCTCCTCAATCATCAATCAATTAATAGATGGCGAAATCTGTAGTAGGGTTCTAGATCCAGAAAATGTTACTAACGATAGTGAAGAAAGTGGCAAAGAGGTTACTGAAAACGAAAAAATTTTGATTGACAACTTGGTCGGAATTCTCGACACAGCAATTACAGTACCTCAATGATGTAACTAAGCAAGAAATTATGTCTGTCTACAGAATTAAAGAGATTAAACAACTTACATTGAAAGAAATGTTTAATAAAGTAGACAAATAAATATTAAACTTTTTTTGTAAATTTTTATGCCATTTAGATCATAAATGCTTCAGCATTTCAGAAATCACGATTTCATATTTTTATAATTTCCAAATGCCATCTTACTAGATTTAAACTGATGATCTAATACCTGGAAAAATCCCAAATCCGAATCTCGGACTTTGTACTATAATAAGGAAGTAATCATGTTTCTTTACACATTCACCTCTACTTTTCTTTTAAATCACAATGAAAGCCAATTAAATATTTTAATGTCATTTTGATGTTCAGCATTCAGAAACTGGTAAAGATTGAAAACTTATGCAATGGAATATATGTGTGTAAAACAATGTTATTAATCAGCTAGAAAATATCATGTTAGGAAGAATCCATATTGGATTTTGTGTTATTTACAATATTAAAAAATCAGAAAGGAAAACAATAAAATTTCCTACATGAGTCTGGTACTTAGAAAAATATCAACACTCAACAAACATTAAAAAAATCCTTTACTGGCTAATGTGTTGTATAAGTTCAGAGAAAAGAGATGAAACAGGACCAAAGCTATTAGAAAAGATAAGCAGTTTCAGCAAGTAATAAATTTGTCAAAAGAACATAATAATAATAATAATTTGTTCAGAGAAAAAAGATCTGAAGGCACGTCCATAAACAGGACCAAAGTTATAAGAAAAGATAAGCAGTTTCAGCAAATAATTAATTTATCAAAAAAAAAAAAAAAAAAAAAAAAAAAAAAAAAAGAGGAGAGAGAAAAGAAAGAAAAAGAAAAGAAAAGCTGTTTGTTATCAGATGGATGGCTTTCAAATTTTAAAATAAGGCATGAAATTCAGAAATTAGACATTTCAGGTAAACTAAAAATCTATCAATAAAGATGCCACATACTAAAATAAGCTAATTGTCTATACAACTGTGACTGAAAATATTTTGTTCCTAGTCAAGCATATAATGTTAGGCTTTGTACCACACATAATGGAATTATTTGCCAAATTTTACATTTGCAGGTTTCAAAGAGGAAAATGCAAAAGATTTTACATTCAGTAACTAAGTTGACTAATTTTATTTTATAGAAATGCTTCTGGAAATCATGAATCTTTTACTGCTGGGAAATAAAGCCTAGAGTAATTAAGAGTCTTTTTTTTTTTTTTTTTTTTTTTGCCTGTAACTTACAAATTTCAAACTCTTAGATGACTGCAGAATTATTGGGAGAGGAGTTTTTCTACTACTTTATACTAGTGGTTAAAGATAATTTTGAAGACCTTGATAACTCTAAAGACCTTTCGCTTTTGGATAATTGTAGAGCACATATTTAGCTCTCTGAACTCATATCAGGAGTATTGCATCATACTTTAACCGTATACATGAGCTTTGATACAATCTATGGATTCAAAGAGTTTTTTAAACGTTTAAATATTAGAATTAGCTTAATTAAAAAATTTAATACAATTCATAAAAATTCTCATAACAGGATCAAGAACTTCCAAGTTCAATTTGATACAAAAGATACTTATAGCTACTATTGCTAGGGATCATGTAAATAACATTTCAAAAGCTTCATGAAAACTGTAGCCAAATCCCATGAAGTAAAAATCTATTGAAGAAAGTAAAACTGTTGATGATCTAATGATCAACTACTCAAGAGCTTATTGAATAAGTGTTACTTAAAATAATCCATTAATTAAATTTACAAAAAATTAAATTATTGAATAGATCAAAAGGATAAAAATGAACCACCCATGAAAGAGTTAAGTGACTATATTAGAATTAAAAGTGTGTTCAATCTGCAGGTTGAGGAATTGGAAAATCACTTGTCAAGATGTTGATGAAATGTTAAATACATTTACGGAATTTGCCAAGAAAAACAAAAAATATTACATTAGAGAAGAAATAATAAATATGCATATTCTACAGAATTTCTTTAAATGCTAAAAGCTTTATGTTTTATTGATCTTCAATATATTGTCACAAGCTACACTTTTTTAAGAATCAAAACCATATCTATTGCAGCAGGTGTTTTATTCAAAATATTTCCATTCACGAGGAGTTCAAAATTAAGCATAGAAAAATATATGGCAAATCTACAAAGTTTTATAGAAACCTCAGAAGAATTAATAAAGCTTGAATTATGATTTTACTGGCACTGCAACTGGTAACTATGTTCCTATTATTTGACCAATGGCATTTTTAACATTTTTTTGTGTATATTAATTTAATGTTTGAACCAATGTCTCTATTGCTTGTCTAGTACCACTTGTCTCTATTGCTTTGTATCACTCAGCCTGATCAATTATCATTTATATTGTATTATACGTAGAATTACTCAGTCTGACGAATTATTATATATTAATAGCCTGACCTATTATTATTGTATATTTATTTTTAACAATTCAATGCTGCTCGTAGTTATTCCCTACCTACTATCCTTCAAAAAGTATGGCTCTGAATTCAATCCTCCTCTCACCTCTAAACCTGGTTATTTGGCATTTTACACTCTCTCTCTTTTTCAGTCAACAAACAAGGATCAACCACTAACCAACTGCACCACTCCAAAGTTTTCTTGCTTCTGACCTCACACCACTACTCTGGTAGTAGCAATTCTATTTTTCAGCAGACCACCACCTACTTCGGCACAACATGATTAAATGACTTGTTGAATGGAATTGATTTCGCTTAACTTACAGCTACCAAGTGAAATTGTCTTAGGTCTATTCACACATCCTCTGAACACCTTATGCTAGCAATAAGACTGCAATTTACTGCTTATCTGTTGCATACAGAATTGGACTTCGTCGGGATACCTTAATTCATGTGACTATGTCATCTAAACCGAAACTTTACATTTTGAACGCAAATTGGCAGCTGGCAGAAAGAATCTCATATTACATTATTTGTGGTATTTTACGAATTAATATATATTTATGAATGACAGATTAAATATTTTGTTAAAGTAACTGAAGTAGATCACAAAAATCAAACCTATCACATTCTATTCATATACAGCAGATTACAACATTTCATACCTTTATAATAGCTATATATTTTTAAAGAACTTCTTTTATTCAAATCTATGAAAAGATATAACCTATTGTATAAATTTTTAAAATAAATAAATAAAAATAAAAATTTTCAAACAAATTAATATATAAGGAGAAAAATAACCTTAATAACTGCTCCATAGTAGAAGGAGTAATATTGTCAATTACTATTTCCCTTATTCTATCCTCAGATGTTTCACCTTCCAGAAGTTCTCGAAAGACACTACTTTCAGCAGACAGTACTAAAGCATGTGCTGGAAACTGCCATCTGGATGCATCTGTCTGGACAACTACATAAAGGTCTTTTAATTCTTCATTCAAATATAATAGCTCTCCTGCACTGCAGAATGAAGGTGGTCTAAGTAGATGACTCATATTCCTGTATGCAGAAATAAACTGAAATAAAATATCGCTATTAAAACTAAAAATCATGTTTTTATTTAAGAAGAGACATTTTTCTTCCTTGAACAGAAACAAAAATTTCAACAATAATATTACCCTATATACCCCATTGCCACCGAAGCTCTGCATTCAAGATCTATTTGGTACCAGAATCTAAAACTATTTCAATACTACCTGCATCTAAAACTATTTCAATACTACTTGCATCTAAAACTATTTCAATACTACCTGCATCTAAAACTATTTTGGTACTTTCTTATCCACACCCTCCCACTGAAAAACTGTAAGCTTTTTGGAGAGGATTTATGAACTTATTGGTGACTAATTTTTCACCAAGCTAATGCACAAAAGGCAACAGTCATTTTCAAAATGGCGGAACACTAAGAATTCATACAAGAGCAATCAATCAATAAAATTAGAAATGCAAGAAACATGACTAATAAAACACTTATCTTCCTTTGCCAAATGCTTCCTATTTTGCACTGTTGATCTCCCAATAAACACAGTGATCTGTTTTGTTTAAGAAAAAATTGGTAAAAATATATTTATGAGTGCCCCTTGGTGATAGTTTGTGATTTTTGGAGGTATATGGACACCGAGTTTGTGCAATTCTTTTGATTTGTTATTTTGGCTTTGTGTAGCGCTGATTTTTGCACCAAAAATCACCACTACACAAATCCAAAGTAACAAGTCAAAGAATGCACAAACTCAATATCCATGTACACATCGACCTATTTCCACTTGAAAAAATATCAGAGAATTGCATAAACTAGACATTGCACACTTTCTTGACTTTGTCCGTGTACACATCGATCTATATTAACTTAAAAAGTCAAAGGAGCAGCCAACAAAAAATATATAATCTCAATAAATTACACTTTAAATCAAACAATGAAATAACATAAAAAAAGGAATTTCATCTTAGCACTACACAAAGGAAATATCCACTTACCTCATTTTACAAATTTCCGTGTCTTCAGTCAAACACAATTTTTTAACTCCATCCAAAAACTTCCTAAAATTATCTGAACTAGAATCTTTATACTGGCATTGCCACATAAATTCACAAAAATAAGGGTAAAAAATATCCTCCGTAGTGCTGGTATCCTCCGATGTTCGACCATACACATTTCCTTCCTACAACAGGACACTTATAATGGCTACTAAGTAAACCTTCATTTACACACCAGTCAATTAATGCTTTTTTCTCTTTTGTTCCAAATCATTCAGAAAATTCAAATTATTCTTACCACAATCAGCTATTTTACAGCATAAACCACAAAATAACAACGTACTTCTTATCCAAAATCCAACACACAAAAGTATTTTGAAATCTTTTCTCATCATTCAAATTCACTGCAATCACACAACCAGTTATGTCATAATAGAATTTCCATAGCATTCAACTACTCAGGTTACCATAAATGAATCAACAACTTAGTGATAATCCAAAGGGGCACCCTTAAATCTACTCTAACAATACATCAAAGAACTGTATAAACTCGGCATTGCGCACCAACCAAAATAAGACAAATAATGCACATACCCGGATCACCACATAAACACTTTTCAGTGATATTGTGGGTTGCCACGTAACTCTTTTCATGACATACTTTGCCTTGTGAATACTTTTGCATGACTTTTTGGTGGAAGTACGGATAGTCAGAAAGTACCATTATTTGACATAAAAAAAAAAATTGAACAAGACAGAAAACGTAAAAGCATATGATGAAATGCCAAATTTATTACATCAACTGATAATCTGCAGAGCATATAATTGATAATTATACCAAATATAATTATACCACTACAACACCTTCATTCCTAGCATTGATAATTATACCACTACAACACCTTCATTCCTAGCATGGTAAAACAGAACACTTAAACTACTATTCGAGCAAAACAAAGATGAAAAATCAAACTTGTTGAATCAGTAACTAATCTATCTAGCAAAACATAAAATAAACTATCAGCTTGTTGAAATAGAAGATTTTAGATGCAGGCAAATTAGGTATATATTGGTTTTTCTAACATCAAAATCATGCCAACCAATATAACCAATATATTGAATATTTGCACGTACCCCATCATTGTGTACTAAGGTTTCCTAATTGAATCGGTTCACTTGCTATGAAAAATTTTTTGCAACACTTCAATATTCTTATTATGACACATTTTAAAAATACTACTATTAATTGCACAATTTTCATTTATGGAAAAACGGATTCACTCTCTTTGTTCATGAATTCTAAAGAAAGTTGTTTTGAAAACCGTTAACATATATCAGTGGTGTAGCGTAGGCTTTAGAAGCCCAGAGTATACACTGGTGTGCAAAAATTAAGGACGAGACAGTTTTTTCAATATAACTTTGTACAAAAGCTTTCCAAATCAACACATTTAATACCGTAAGATCCCCAATACGTAAGGACATGAGTAATGTAAGCAACACTTACTAAAAGAGAAATCAGAGGGATAAAAAGAAGCTTTATTGAAAAAGTAGCACGGAGCGCAATGCAACTGAGGGCCGAAACATCCCTGTGATGGGTGTCCAGCAAGAAACATCCGGTCTTTAATAGGGGATATGATCTTCCCTGACTGCTAGGCAGGTTTCACAGCGTCTGCCCATGCTGAGAATGAGGGTGTCAATGAGTTGTTGAGGCATTGCTGCCCATTCGTCTTGCAGCGCCAATCGAAGCTCCGGAATCGTTACTGGTGGTAAGGTACGAGCTGCCAAGCGTCTGCCTAGAAAATCCCATACATGCTCAATGATATTGAGATCCGGAGATCGTGCCGGCCAATCCATACGTTCAATATCCTCACTCTCTAAGAGCTGTTCGGCAGCTACTGTGCGATGACATGGTGCATTGTCGTCCATGAAAAGGAACTGCGGACCCATAGCGCCTCTAAAAAGACGCACATATGGACGAAGAAGAATCTCGTTACAATAACGGGTCCCGTTGACTGAACCTGCGTCGAAGATGTGAAGGTCTGTACGACTACCAAGCATGATGCCTCCCCAAACGAGAACACCGCCACCTCCATACCTGTCCCTTTCAATGATGTTCGAGGGATGATTGCGGCTTCCCCGCTCTCTCCAGATAAGTATGCGATGAGAATCGCTACTCAGACTGAATCTGCTCTCATCTGTAAAGAGTACTCGTCCCCATTCATTGTCTCTCCAATTCCGGTGTTCCCGGCACCACAGAGAACGCCTTCTCCGATGGGCAGGCATTAGAGGTACACACTGTACAGGGTGTCGTGCAAACAAACCACCACCGTGCAGTCTTCTGGCCACGGTAAAACGCGATATTGGTCGTCCAGTCGCCTGTGTCGTGCGTCTAGCGATTTCTCCCGCTGTCTGCCGCCTGTTTCTTCTGGCTTGTAAGGCAATATACCGGTCATCTGTGGGTGTGGTTCCTCATGAACGACCACTACTAAACCCCCGGATAGCTGTTCCTGTAGTTTGAAATTGTCTCCAAAGTCGTGAAATGATGCTGTGAGCAATTCCGAACTCTGCAGCCACATTTGTCACACTGCGGCCTTCCTCTAACTTCCCAATGATTCGACCTTGGGTAAAAGCATCCAGATGTACTCTAACAGATTGATTATTTGCCATTTCTCGCTGAGGCAGCAACTCGGTGTGATTTTAACTGCTATACGGAGTGCAATCTCTTTGCCAGAAATACTGATCTTACAACGACAACATGCTTTATACTACTCAGACACTCCCCCATTACGTCTACCTGCATATCCGCGCATGTGCTACCGTACATCACCTTACTTAATCTCCTGATTGGTCTTTCTGTCCGCTCTGCCTCTTCGTTCAGCTGATATGCTAATTTTTCGACTTCGTCCTTAATTTTTGCACACCAGTGTATATCAACTGCTTTGAAGTTTAGTTTCGAATTTAACGAAATTAACATTAACTTCAGCTGCTTTATGAAATTCAGTTTTAAATTTATAGAAAGCAACCTTCACAAAGGTGCTGCTGCCTTTATATTGGGAAACTCTTGCGAAGGTTTCTGTCTTGAGACCACCTTACTTAATCTCCTGATTGGTCTTTCTGTCCGCTCTGCCTCTTCGTTCAGCTGATATGCTAATTTTTCGACTTCGTCCTTAATTTCTGCACACCAGTGTAGGTAACATTCGCTGTTCCCCGCAGTTGTATAAAAAAATGGATGTGTAATTGTGAATAAGTTAAATGTTATAATATTCCTATTCAGATACACTATACATTGAATTGCAGCTATAGCTTAATCTAATTAGTATAGGTACAAAGATTTTGGTTATTCCTTATAAAATTGACCCTATAGTACAAAGGAAATATTTTTAACTAGCAGGTAAACAAAAATAAAAATTGTAATACTCACATAATTGTATGCATAACACGAATCAAACATGCAGGCCATCAATTAATAGTTTACATAAAATGTTTTGACAATGGTTAACAGTTATTTCGACAATATTTAACAATTACAAACCACAATACACACTTAAAGATAATCATGAAATGTAGCAGGTAAATTGAGTTAATATGAACTGGAGGACTAATGTTGCAGGTGTTATTAAGTAATATTGAAATCTATTATGTAAAAATTAATTCTTGTTAAATATTCTTTGTGAACAATTTACACTTAAAATAAAATATGAGCAATTACCGTAAGGTCAGTAGACAATGCTGCCACTCTCTAGAGTAAGCAAGATGAATACACTCACTTAAAGAAAGGTTTTCCTGGTTCCGCTACAGATTAAAGTTCTGTGCTCATTTAAATCGGTCCAAACTGTAGGTGCAAAAAAGTATGAAAATAAATGTTTCAATCTATTAATTCAGATTACAAGATATTATTATTACCTATTGTGAAATTTTGCAATTGTATTGTGCCACCTAGGGTGCGCCACACCCACCATGCTGGCATACATTTCAGAATCCATACAGAATTATAAGCTATTACAAAACTAAACTGAACTATTAGTTCTCTGCATAAAAATATGTATAAATATGAAACCTTGTTTTATGGCAACTTGGTGGAAGATATATAGTCTGCTTCATTTGAAATATAGTTATGGCAAATAATCATAATTGCTTCAGTAGCTAAATGTTGCATATTTTAAAGTTACACTAGTTATTTAGCAAGCTTTTTCAAAATTCTGGCACTGACTTATCACTTTTATTTGTTTGCATAATATTAAAAGTGTATGTATTAGATTCAATAAAATTTAGTCATTTTCTAATTCTTTATAAGTGGCATGAGACACATCTAAAATTTGCCCTTTTTTATGGGTAGAACAAATAGCTATAATTACAACTTGTGACGACTTAAACTTAATTGGGAAGCACTTCCGCAGAGAACCCGGTAAATGTAAATATTGCCAACTTTGGCGATAATAGTTCAAACCTGGTAACCCCGCGGATTTATCCTATTCGCTTGTTCGAAGTTTGCAACCATTCCTCTTGCGTTCACTTTGTTGAATTATCACTGTCATTGTTCGCATTTGCAGATTTATATTATTCTTCTCTTATTTATTATTATTTTTTCTGAATTTTTTAACAACGAATAGATAGAAATATTTTCACATAATTAAAGAAGTTTTATCGAATAAATGCCGGTTCAGCTCGTCAGTTCGGGATCAAAGGAAGGAAAATACGGCGGGAGAGGTGAATGCTAATTTGTAACACGGCTGTTGACGTTGTGTTCTTAATTATTAACAGGTGTAAGCATGCAGAACTATGAGGTTTTTAACCTGTAAAATAATTTGTTTTTGTAGGCCGCAAAAATATGCATGTGCATTTTAAGTAATGCTTTTATTTTTATTATTGGTTATTGTCATCTAAAATTATGAGAATAAATCAATTTTTATGGCGTAAAATTTTAACAAGATAATATCTTGTTAATGCTTTTCTAACAATAACCTTTCAGAGGATTGCAGGTGTGACATAAATAGATCATTAAATTGAAATAAAAAATATGATTGATTATCTAAGATGACAGAATAGTTTGATGCATCACCATGGTCATCAAAATTAGCAAACCACTGCTGATGTAAGGATTATATTGTTTTCCGTGTTAACTGGAATTTAAGACAAATTTTTTTCGTTTATCACGTTTAACCAGGTAATTTCAGTACATTAATACTAATTTATATTTTTTATTTCCATTATAAATGCTTATATATTGTCTTATGCTTAATATATTCTTTTCTGTGCTAACTTGAATTTAATACAAATTTATATCCGTATATCACGTTTAACAGGTTAGTTTTACATCTACATGCATATTATCTGTGAATTTTTACTACCATATGCTTAATATATTGTTTTGTCTGCTAACTTTATTTTACATGCACTAAAAATCACGTTTACAAAATAATAAATATCATGCTTACGGCTCGGCTCATCGTTGATGAACCGCGAGCTTGGCGAGTAAAAATGCAACGGCGCCAACGGGTTCTCTGCAGATGAAAACCCCGTAATTGCTACATCAATGAGAGTAAGCACTAGAGAAATATGAATATTCCATGTAAAAGAAGAACTGCAATCCCCATCATTAGGCTGCCTGGATGCTGGAAAATTGTCAGTATGTACAGTATTAATAAGACAAAAAAAAAAAAAAAAAAAGACTAGAAGCTATTAAAAATTACGAGGGTTTTTAGAAACAAATAACCTGAAAAGAATTAATCAAGTATGTGCGTGAGATGCCCTCTTAACAGCACAGTTTATTAATTAAACAAAACTAGGGAAAAAATATGGTTTCTTTATAGAACATTTTTTATAATGTAAAAATGGTTAAACAAATGTTAATTTCTCGACGTATAAAGATTAGTAATGAAACTGTTTCAAATATGAAATTAAAAATAAATTTACTTATTTACAGAATTACTATTTAAATAATAATACCAAAACTTACTTAACCAAAAATATGCTGAATACAATGAAAAAAGAACCCCACTTAACTAAACATATAAAATTATTTAGAACACCAAATTTAGAAAAAATTAATAGGAATTAATTTAATGTAAAAGTGATGAAACTGAAATTCGCTTAGCATCACTGAATTACTTACTCACTGCGAAAAACTATACATAAGATATATTATATTATAAGCAAAAATGAGTAATTTATATTATTTACCAGTTAATGTGTCAAATCATTTACAATATACCTAGACGAACCTTTAACACTGCTTATTACAAAGCAAATGTTAAAAAAACGAAACAAAAAAATTTACATCTTATCCCCCGATGATATCAAGCTAAGAGTGCGTATAGGAGGAAGGTACAGATAGGCAACTGATCTTGAAATTAAAAGTAAAAATGCTTTTTTAAAAATCTGAAAAGCCTTCTTATTTTACATTAAGCATAAAGGGACATTTTCTAAACTTTTGTGTGTTACCTATACGAACGAATAAATAAATAAACAAATAAAAAGAAAAAATCTGGATTTTGAGTGTTGCCTTTGTTTTTTAAATATCATGTTTTTCGCACTTAAACTATAAAATTCAATTCAACAGCAATATCTAAAATAATTTTAAAATGGGCATATCTTTAGACTTTCGAATACAAAGTCTCGCGAGCTGAAGGAAAAAATTGCTTCTTTTTTTTTTTTTTTTTTTTTCCGATACGAGTTTTGCCGTTGTTCTCTTTGAAATCGTTGAGTTTGTTATTCAAAAATTTGTTGAAGTGTTACAAAATGTGAATTCGAGAGGCGTTTTCTTAAGGTTTTGTGCGGTACCTTTCACTTCTATCGAAGCGCGCGGCTAGGCGGGATATTTCCGAGAAACGAGATTCTATACTGCAGGACTAACTTGAGAACACTAGATATAGTTAGAGCTACTAGAGATACAGGCTGACTCGTCAGCCATTTTGAATCTAAGCTTTAGGGTTGCAATTTAGGTGTGGAGCGGCAACTTTGGCTCTTTAGCGCTGTCCGCTAAAATTTAACATTCTAGAGAATCCGAATTTCAGCTTTTTTCTGCACTCCTATAAAGATGTGTGGCTTTTTCCCCTTCTTTTGTCTGCAGTTCAGATTCTTTCTCGTATTTTTTTTTTTTTAAATTGCCAAATTTCTCGTATGATTCAAGTTATTTTAAAAGTTTCTAAAACATTTTCACATATCATATTTCAAATTTGTATTTTTAGTTAAAAATGCTTTCTTTTTGAATTCCTTTATTGAATTTTCAATTTTTTCTTTTAAATACACGCATAATGTTATTTATCTCAAAATGTATTTTTTGACAAGAGCTTTCCCTCAACCACATTCTTAATATGGTTGAGGGAAATCCCTCAACCATTAATTTAGGATAAGGTTTAATCTTTAATTTTTGTTTTTTATTTTTAATATGTTATTTGAATTTTGCTCACATGGAATCAAATGTCTATTACTGTAGCAAATTTGTTAAAAATGTTATTTTGTGTGTGTTTCCAGAAAAAGCTGCTAAACACTTTATGATTTTAAATACTGATTCAAGATATACACCTTTAAATTATAATGCTTTTAGAATGAAGTGCAGAATGCTATAAAAATTACTTCAATGCTCAGATGACTGTGGGATTCATAGATTTAATAGAGTAAAAAATTCCATTAATTTTTTTTCTTTATTTAGCTATAAACAATATTAAAATAATACACACACAAATAAATAAAAATAAAAATAATACCTTTACATACAGAATTTACAGATACTATTTACTTATAAGTTTTATTTGTTGTTGATGGTTACTTTTTATTATACTTGGAAAAATTATACTTACATACATATGCTCTTAATATTACACGTATCTGAATATTTAAATGATAATTCCATAACATAATAAGATTCAATCTATATCACAGCAAAGACAATACTTGAATCACAGTTCTTTTTATTAATTAATTTGCATAAGTAAAAACATAAAAATATTCTTTAGCTTCAAATCTATAAAATAAGTCCTCTAGTAACAAACATATGACAAACACATATAGTGAAAATAAAGATAAATAAATAAAAATGTTTTGCTTGTTGGTCTAATGTAGTGCAATTCAGTCTATTATATTCAAATTTTATTAAAACATACTGCAGTAATTGAATTTTTTCCATTATACATCAAACAGCTTTATATAGAATGATATTATATTAGTTTTACTTTTAAAACTAATATATATATAATTAATTCTCATTTATATGCGGAGATGTTTGAATAAATGCAAAAAACCATCTGAATAAATTTTAGCCAACACTATTCAGATAGTATTCTTGTTTTCAAGGTATATCATTTTTATTTTGTTCTTTTTCCATTAAAGGAGCTAACCTAAGACCACAAAGGTTCGATAATATTCAGGTCTGGTGACTGTGGTGGCCAGGGGAGATGGGACAACTCATCCTCGTGCTCAGAAAACCAGTCCTGGACAATGTGAGCTGTGTGAACAGGGGCTTTGTCGTCTTGGAAGACACCATCACCATCGGGGAACAAAGTTTGTACCATGGGATGAACTTGATCGGCCAAAATATTCACATAAGTCTTGGCAGTCATGTGCCCTGACACAGTTCATTTGGGGCTAGCAGAGAACCACGATATGGCTGCCCAAACCAGAACAGAACCCCCGCCATGTTTCACTCTTGGCAACAAACAGTCTGTATTATAGGCTTGAGATGGCGTTCTCCAGACATAAACTCGGCTAGAAGTGGGAAACAATGTGAAAGAAGACTCGTCAGACCATATTACTCGCTTCCACTGCTCTATAGTCCAGGCTTTATGACTTAAACACCACCTTTTCCTGTTACGGGCATTAGCGTCACTGATGAGTGGCTTCTCAATTGCAGCACGGCCAGCAATTCCCTGTTTATGAAGCTCCCTTCTAATTGTTTTGGTACTCACAGGGTTCGGTAACACAACATTCATTTCAGCAGTAACTTTTGCAGCTGTGGTCTTCTTATTTTTCGTCACAATTGCCCTTAATGATCGTCTGTCACGATCACTCAGGACACACTTTCGTCCGCCCTGTGATTTAGCAGATGATGTTTTTCCGCTTTTCAAATATGCGGAATAAATCTTCGATACAGTACCTCTTGAAACACTAAACACCTCGGCTACCTTGCTTACGGAAGCACCTACCATACGTGCTCCAACAATTTGCCCACGTTCGAAGTCTGTTAACTCTGACATAATGCAATGACAACCTCACATAACAGTACTCCGACAACAACTGAACTGTTTAGCACATTTACGAAGTTGTATAGGTGGCGTCAGTAGTCAAAAACGCCAGCGCCACCTACATTTCATTAAAATCAATCTTTCTTTTCAAACATGCATTTCACAAGGTGTTTCCATATTTTTGTCCATCCACTGTATCTCATTGATATATTATAAATATAGCTTAAACATGTTTTATGTGCATACCCAAAGGGGGTGGGAAGTAAGCCTTGATTCAAAATCTGTTTTAAAGCAATAAGTAAATAAATAAAATACACTGGTTCTATTAGAATGTCAAAAAATACTGTTATGTATTCTATAAACAAATCCAAATTATCACATCATACTATATAACCCTGGTACAAAAGAAATGTCTGATTAGGAACATACTCTATTTATTTGGTAAAAAAGAAGAGTAAAACATATGCAACATCCCATTATGAAAAATCCTGCAAGCCATTACAATACTATAAGACATTGATTAGTAAGGTAAACATCAGTTGATCATTCTTTCACAACAGCAATAAATGTTTCATTTAAAATTCCTAATAACATGCCAAAACAGATTCACAATTGATGCCTCATTTAAGGTCACACAAAAGTAAATCCGATTTAGCTGACTATGAGATCTTCTATTGTAGAGGACTTTCTAAGGAGAACTGGCTTGTATTCACATTACACATGGGGAAAAAACCACAAAAAAACCAACCATGCAGCCAGCCTGTTCGGAAATAGAACAGAAGATGGAACTCCCAGCATTCAGTAACTTTAACCATTCAGCTGTTGGTGGGCCTAATTATTATTCGAAGAGACAAACAGCAATTTTTCAGTGACAACTACTCTACTTTTTTACAGACAGAACTGAACAGCAAAAACTTCTTAAACTCTTGATTAGATTCTAGTTTTACTTTCTTCCTTTTAAAAGCAGGAGATGCAAAACTTCGCCCATGCTGCTTTTTATTTTGAAGAAGCTTCTTGAGACCAATTCGACGGGCAGTCAAATAATGTTTTATTATTATTTGTTGTACGTTTTGATATTGCAACCAGGAAGGAATATTTATCTCACCTGCTTTCTTACAAATCATATTAATAAATTCCTCATCCATAGTTACATTTCCGCATATTATTTCGTCTTGAAAATTTTGAATTATTTTCTCACACAGAAGGCACAGTTTAAAAATTTTAGGAGAAGGACATTTAACCCACCTAAATTTGCAAAATTAATTATATACTGCTTATTTTCATCAATGGAAGGAGTATTTTGCTCACAAACTAAGAGAAACTGTGAGCATGAATTACAAGCATTTTTCAAACAGAATTTATTGCAGCTCCTGCAATATAACAGATGTTATTTTCCTCACTAAGGGTGAGATTCTGTAGAGATACATCAGAAACTTCTGGTATGGTAACAGGCTCTAAAGCTTTTTTTCTCCTTCAGAAATTCAAATTCATCTTTCGCATAGTTTAATAAAGTAAATATCTGAATCAGTAGCATAACTGGAGTTCTTAATGTCAGATATAAACTGAGATAAACAGATAAGCTTTAATGCTTTCACAGCTTGCAAAGCACTTGGCCTCAAACCAGCTTTTCTGCGTATCTGAGGAAAATACATTTTCTAGAGCATCTTGTGTCAATCTGCTCGTCAAAATAAACTGAAAATCATTCAGAAAACATGCCTCTGCTAACTGTATGGCTGATAAAGTAGAGAAAGAATCAAACCAGTATGTAATGGTTTCCACCCTTTACCAATTTCTATAAGCTGTATAACATTAATAAATTCAAAAAGTAACTCAATTTTTTTGCTTTTATTTGTCACAGAAATTGAGTTCTTTCTACATCTAGAGGATAGCATTTGAAACCACTGACATATAAATCTTATCCACCATGCTGTTGTAAGAGCATTAGGGCTTATCTCTTTTAAAGCTACTGCCTTCTCCAATCCCACAGCTGTTTTAATTGGAAAAAAACCTCACAGCAGAAGCAACATTCATTTTATCAAAATGTGAGGGGAAGAGGTCTTCTTTGCTGAGATGATGCATAGTTCTCAAACCACAATTTTGGTTTGTTTCAGTAATCCAGATATCTTTTATAAATCCTGCAGATACATGCAAAGTAACCAAATTTTCTTTATTGCAAACATAACTGGGCAGTTTTATACTATGATTAAGAGTTGCAGACCAGAGATTTTTTAAAAGATGTGGCACATCTGCAAATACATAAATAATTTTGCCCTTAATTTCAGTAGTGAAATTATTTCTAATTGGTTTCGAGAAACAGATATTCCCAAAGAATTCCACAGGCTTCTATTTACTGCTGCCATATCGCTAACAATACCAACAACATTAAATCCAACAGAATTGACAGCTTCGATAACATTGACAACAAGTTGTTTGAGCTGGCATCCTGTTACCTGTCCAGTTATCTCATGGGCAACCACTTGCTTCCATTTCAGCTTCAAACCTCTTAGTAAAATAACTAAATAGTGATTTCCTGCACCCTTTTGATTTCCTAATGTACATTTACCAATAAATTTACGTTTTGAAATATCAAAATCAGGATTGCCAGAAATCTCCATTTCATCCAATGATAAAATACAGTCTTTATCACTAGCATTCATTTTTTCTCCTTTAATTTTCAAAGGTTCAATCATCTCACTGATGACTCCAAAATTCATTTCAAGACCTTGAAGTCTTTTATTTAAAGTGCTGTATGAAGGCACGGAAAACCTATTCTGTGCAAGTAATTATAACCATGCTTGCCCAAGGCAAATCTAACTTTGAGGCCTTTTATTATTCCCTCGTTAGACCATTTTGCAATGCTCTACGAGGAATTTTCAACATTGCTATTTGTTCATCTGAAAGAAATGTTTTCACTCCTTTCAGCAATTCCTCATGCTGTACTTGAAGGTCATGAAGTTGAATTTCAGTGCTATGCCATTTTTTTAAAACATTAATTTCATTTTTTTTGGTTGCTGTAAGTTCTTTCAGTAATATTTTGTTCTGGCATTGCAGAAGCGAGATCAATTCAGTCTGCTGTTTTATAAAATTCCTTAAAAGAACATCCTGGAATAAAGAAAAAATCTATATGAATAATCATCAAAGAAGGGGGGGGAACACAACAAACAAACAAAAAATCTGAAAGGTTTCAGATTTTAAATTACACCCAAAGGGCCTTTTTTTAACATTTGTGTTTTACTTTATTATTAAATATCAAGTTTTCACACTTAAAAAAATTCAGCAATATCTGCCAAAGCAACAGTCTGCAACAAAAAACGGTTTGAAACAAAAAAAAGAAAACTTAAACCAAAATTTCTTGTAGGGGGCAACATTTCAAAAAAGATTTTTGTTAACATTTTGTGAACTTTTTTATTAAATTTATAACTTTTTTAGTTTTATTTCAAGTTTAATCATTTTTTAACGAATTTATAATTTTACATTAAAAAACGCTTTACATAAAATTTGCAAGATATTTCTGGATTTGTAATTTTAAAATGAACATATCTTCAGAATTCCCGATTCATTGTCTCACACGCTGGAGTAATAAAAGTGTCTTTTCTGTACAACATTGCCATTGCTCGCTTTGAAATCCTCAAGTTTGTTAATCAAAAATTTGTTAAAGTTTTACAACATATAAAATATATATTAAAACAAATTTCCGAATTTCAAATTCGGTCTTCCAGATGTCCATATTCACAGTAGAATTAAGTCATTCAAAATTTGATGGCTCTAGGTACCGTTGTTTTATCAGAATGCAAAAAAAACATACATGCATTTATGCAAGATTCTTCACTATATAATTTCTTTAAATATAGTACAGGGTGATAATATTTGGTGGCAACAATTTGAAAAGTGATGCAGCCGTTTATAGTGTTTCAATACAAAACGAAAACAATAGTCCTTCAGGGACAAAGCCCCTTTGGATTAAATGTCAAACTTAAACAGTAATAATAAATCCACAAAATAAAAATGCAAGTTCCAGGTCTCTTTTCCTATACTGTGGTGGGTTTTTAAATTTGACTCTATTGTTTTCAGCATTTTCTAGATTATTTTTTTTTTTTTTTGTTTTTTTTCTAATATTTAAAATTATTTCACTTAAAAATAAAAATTTTTAAAATTTATTTTTTAAAATTATTTCCAGCTTTTCAAGGGATCGATTATCTCCATAATCATGAGCAATTTAATAACACAAATTATCAACTTATATCACAGCCTTCACAAATGCTGATGAAATTAATTAAAATTAATTACAATTTGGTTGCAAGATGAATCTAAAGGTTGTTTTTGCAAACAAAAACTGAAATTTACATAGAGAATTTGCAACTATTGATGAAATTAATTACATTCCTTTTACCAAAAAAATTACTTTATAGAACATTTTTTTTTAAATGCATATAAGGAAGCAATTTAATTATACATTAGTTATCAACTTACATCAGAGCCTTCACAAATAGATGGTATTTCATTGCAAAATGAGGCTAAAGGCTGTTCTTGCAAACAAACCTGAAATGTACACAAAGAATTTGTAAATGCTGATGAAATTAATTACATTCCTTTACCCCCCCCCAAAAAAAAGTTAATAGAAACATTTTGTATAAGCAAGCAATTTAATAATACACTAATTATCTACTTACATGAGATCCTTCACAAGTAGATGGCATTTTATCACAAGATGAAGTTGAAGCTTGTTCTTGCAAACAAACCTGAAATATATATATAAGAAATTTAGAAATAGAAATACAGATAATATAAACTACATTCATTTTAAGAAATAATTATTTTACATAACATTTTATAATTCATAAATAGATAATAAATTGTTAACACTCAAAATTCAAAAATAATTCCATAGCACAACAGCCAGATATAGTACAGCTGTTTAGCAACCATAAGACAAACAATTTCATATTTCAGAGAAATCGTATAAAAATTCATTAATATATGTAAAAACATATGACATTTAATAGCTGCTCAAATGAAAAACATAGAATAGATTCTTTACTAGCAGCTGTTATTTAATCAGAAGGTAATGCTAAATGTTGTTGCAAACACACCTGAGATGTACTGTAATGTACACATTTGCAACCACTGGTGAAATGAAATAAAGTGCATGATTATGAAGATGGAAACATTTAAAAAAACATAGTACAGTTTACGAATAGATGTTAAAAAAACTATTAAAATTTTTTAGAAGTGCAAAATGGCAATTTACATCAGATACTTCGGCAGCAAAAATTTATTTCTCCAAAATATGAAGCTGAAGGTTGTGGCAAATGAACCTAAAAGAAATTATAATATATGAAATATGTGGAAGTGAAAGAAATTATAAACTCTGATCGGATAAAAATAAATACAAATAATCATTACCATTTTAAAAGTAACTCAACTTATAAAAAAAGCATAAATACATTGGACTGTTCATAGCATTCATACTTCTTAAACATAAGTAAATATTACGTTAATATTTTTAAATTTTAGAAACAGTGTTAATACTTTTTAGAAAAAGTTTATAATACTAAATATTTAATAACTGTTCAAATGAAGACTTACAACAGATGGTTCAGCAACAGAAATCGCTTCAGTTGATAAAGGTAAACTGTGCAGCAAGCCACCCTGAAGATGCAAAAATTATGAAACACATATAAGTAAGGATACCTGAAAATGCTGATAAATAAAATATACTTAATGTAATTTTAATAATAAATAATATAAATAATCCTAATAAGTTTTGTAAATCTTTAAACAAAAAATAACAACATTCAGACAAGGACATATAAGACATTAAAAATATACATTTAAATCAATGTATTATAAACTATATTATTGTATTACTCAAGATTAAAGTTATTAATTTCAAATATTTTTCTTTTACTTACTCCCTACATATTTCTCTCTATTTATCTGGAATTTAAAATTAAGCAAAAAAGCAACTTTAGTTTAATACAAATTTTGATTTAAACTCTTTTGACTTTGAAGGCAATCAGATACCGGTTTCTTTCTTTTAGGAGCAAATTTGAAGAAGAAACCAGACCCATGTATGACCGTCCTCGAAAAACTACAAAAACTTTATCCAAAAACTACATCAAATTGAGGTTTTATGCTTAATTTTCAATATATGATTATAATAACAAAGTACATACTTAATTATATATATAACAACAGCAAAATTTTAATTTTTTAATCTAATCTTAGGGACTGTAATTACAGCTTTATCACATAATGCCTTAATTTCAATATTTTGATTCTTTTATAAAGCAATTTAGTCCATTTGTAATAAAAACATATTTTTTTATGAAAAACCATAAAAATAAAAAAACACATACATTACAAAAATTGGATGTAACTGAACGGTGCTTTGGTAAACCAATGCCTTTTAGACGCTGTGGGGTCAACAGTTGTGGGGGGGGGATTAGGCACATTGAAAAGAGTTGGCACAGCATTGGGCTTGAGTTTTTACGCCCATCTTGCCTAGAGCATTCAAATTGATTTTCTTCAAAATGTACCTGCATATTTAACAAAAGCATGCATGAAATTTAACAAAAGCATGCATGAAATTTAACATTAAAATCAAAAGCACTAGTATTAAATTACAGTTACATATATTATAATAATTTAAGAATGTAATTTTCTGATAAATTTAAAATTTTTTTATGAAAATAGAACAAAATTTTTAAAAAGTAATCATGTTTGTAAAACTACTTAAAACATATTTCCTGCTCACACACTAAAATAAAATTTAAAGTACCTATAGTTAAAAATACAACATTAAGATTTACTACTACAATAAAGGATAATAATGGGATCAAAACGATCATCGAATATTTAAATTAATATTTAACTTCTTAAAAATGTCTAAAAATACAGAATTATTTATCTTACTATAAAGAAAAAAACAACAAAATCATTTATTATTTGGATCATACCATCCAGTTTTTAACATTGGCGCCAACTATCCGATTTGGCGACAATACATCAGAATCAAAACATAGAATGCTACTTTAAATCACCAATCGTACAGTAAAATTAAAGAAAAGAAAAAGGCACATCACATTTCTAACTGAGCACAAAGTTTACATGAAATGTATGATACAAATTTTACAAACGGTATAAAACTTTTCACGATAACAAAAGAACAACATGAAACAACGATATTTTACTGCACAAACACATACACATTCCGCAGTTGATTTTGTACTATATAAAATCAGTTGATCGTCAATAAGTGACAGTTAAATGAAAATAAAATATTTTAAAGTACCAAGAAGAGTAATTTTTCTAACATTCTATGGAAAAATACGAAGCTGAACTTACCTCACAAAGATACGCTCCTGGGCCCGGGATCCATTGATCTCGACGAGAATTAAACTATCCATTTTCTTCGTCTTTCTTCATTTCTAGGGAAACGAAACATCCTAAAGTTATTTTTAGACTGATTCGAACAATTTGGTGCAGCACAACCACCCATTTTTCTGAAAAATTAGGTCGGAATCGATCCACAAATATGTCAGAAATCAGTGCTAATCCAATAGCGAATACCAACAAGTTAGCTTCAAAATGGATGATGATTCAGCTCCCTTTATAGTAGCCCTTAGAATATAGAAGAAAGTGTATGCGCTGACGAGAGGCGCTGTCCACGTATGATGAGGCAGGATCTTAGAAAGCTCCTAAATTCAAAGATGTTTTTCACAAAATTCCATTATTTAACCCGGCCTGTCGATTAATATCTGCGAATCCATTTAAAACGTCGTAGGTTTGGACCGAACTTCCCGTAAAATGTCGCGAAATAACCCAAACCTCTGAAAATTGTCAAGCAGTTTCTTTTTGTTTTTTCCCATCCCCCCAGAATTTTACTTCATGATTCCCTAAGTGAGATTGGTTGCTATATGTTCGGTAGCTGTGAGCTCTCAAGAGAATTGCAAAAGGGGACTCTCCGTGATGATCGTCTTAATACGCAGGCTACAGTGCGAAACTTGAAGGTCTTCCTTAACTTCTTATTCTTACATATAATAAAGAAAGAGTCTGTCTGTGTGTGTGCGCCTTCGTTCGAGCTGCGCGTAAGCTAATAGACCCACGGCTACGAATTGGTACATAGGTACATCTACACAAGAGCCAGTGCGCTCGAAGCGAGTTTTTCGAAATTCGAATTCGAATTTTTTTATTTCTGTTTTGTGCGAATCGTGTCATTTTGAAACTAATGGGCTATAGGAAAGCGAATTTACTCTACACACTCCTTTCATATCGTCATGAAACGTAGGGATTAGCTATTTTGCAACCTAAAATAAATTTCGTGTGTCAATAAATCGATTAAATACGAATTTATTTAACAAAGGGAGCTTAACACTTTTTCAATTGGTTTTCTAAAAAGTTTATTTTAAAATGACAGTTTATTTTTCTTTGATTTTTGGACACGTTTAACTTTCATCCTTGCGAATGCTTTTACAAAAAAGAATTTGGAAAAATGATATATTTGTATTTTAAAAAGTTTTTAAATGAAGCTTCCGAGAACCATTTCTCACATCTCACATCTTAAAATGTGATTTTGGGCTCATTTCCTGTCTTATTGTTGGTGATAGATTTTGAGAATCGCATCATTTTGAATAGTTTCATTCTTTTAAATATGGGTTTGGCAACATTTTTCATCGTATTTCTTATGTCATGTTTAAGAGATTGGCTATTTCTTGTCATTTTTATATAAATTAAATTTTTATTGATTTTTTTTTGATAAAGTTGTTCTGTGGAGTAAACTTTGCGCGGAATTTTTTTTTTTTGAGTTGCTTCATGTTTTTTTTGCTATTTACTGTTTATAAGATATTGAAAAGTTTACATGATTTTGTTCTTCTCGGAAAGTTGGTTAATTTTAATTAGGATAATTAATATTTGTATTAAGAGATATAGCTTATTTCATTGTAATTTTTCCCTTGAACGATAAGAAATATCATAATTATACTTTGCTTTTCAGAATTTTGTTTTTGCATTCCTTTATATTTATTTATTGCTATTTCCTGTTTTTAAGATATTGAAAATTTTACTGATTTTTAGGAAAAAATTTAACCTCCTTTATACTATTTGAGTTCTAAAAATTTTGCAAAGGGAATTTGGTTAATTATTTATTAGATAATTAATATTTGTATTAAGGAACATTGCTTAGTTCATTGAATTTTTGTTATGCGTAATAACTTTTTTATGAAGTTGTTCGCAGAGTAAATCCTAAGCAGTTTTTAAATTAACGTTTGGAGTTCCCTCAGCCATTTTTCCGGTACTTTAAAAAGCCAGACGAAGGTTCGCAGCGAAGCTGATAGTTTTCAAATAAATTGTTTAAATTACCCGGTTAAATTTTAAATTATACGCATTTAACCTAAGTCCCTAAATCTGTATGTCACTGATTATCACCGGGAATTTCAATGCAGAACTCATTAAACTGCTATCCTAAATTATATTCTGACAAATATCTGGTGCAATTTTCATTCTTCTGAGATTGCTGAAACATTTCGTATTATTTCGATTTTCGTATTTTGTCTAATTAAACATCTTTAAAAACCGTCGCATTTTCCTATATTTTCAACTGCAGGCAACTATAATTATTTTAAAAATTCTTTTTTCCTTAATTATTACGTAGTTTCCGAGGACGAAAACGAAAATATTTGGGTGTTTTTAAGGTGGTATTAATATTAAATTTGCATTTTACTTTTTTATACATTCAAGATATTCAGAAAGGGAATTATAACAGGAAACCGTTTTCAGTGTATCATAAATTTATGATTCAAATTAAATTCTTGCTTTCCTGTCAAGAAACACGAGTAAATTTTATTGAAATAGGAATATGAGACATATTAATAAAAAAAAAGCAATAATTTTTCAAAGAAAAAAATTCAGCGTTATATTTTCAAATTTCACAGATAGTTTCGATGGCTTTACGAACCATCATCTCAGCTGCAAAAGCGCAAAAACGAGATAAGATAAAAAAAATTAGATTGGAAAATTTGAAAATATAAAGCTGATTTTGTTGTTTGACTTCCAATTTAATGTTGTTCGCTGTTATTGTATCTTAATTAAACAAAAGCAGTTGTACTTTGCTTTACAATATAATTATTCAATATGGTATTTTTGTAAAGAAAGGTGCTGTACATTTGGTAAAGTATAAATAAGCATTTCATTTAATAATATAAAAGTTTTAATTATTAATAATTAATCATAAGAATATGAATAATTAATATTTTTTCGGAGATATATTTTCCGGCGATATTTTTTTTCTAGGATCCCAGCATACATTTTGAAGCATTATGCTCTAAATAAATGTCTTGTTTAAACATAGCATTTATTGATGACAAATCCAACCAAAGGAAATACCTTACTGGGAGGATATTCAAACAAAATTTTATTAGAATAAATATTTTCGTATTTTAATACTACTAATAATATACAACATAGTTTAAGTTCACTATAGTTGAGTGATAAGATGGGGATGTTGGTATTTGTTGTTGGCAACCGAAAGTTAGCTGCTTGTGGTATTTATGATTTTCGATGCGATGCGACGTGAATTCAAGCCAATTTTATTTAGAAAATTGCCCACGAAGGTGTTCTCTTAAAGCAGATAACCATGACTTCTTAAAAACTGTAAATATAATCTGTGGATATTTCCGTTTATACGTAACACGAAGAAAATGATTTCCTATACGAAACATATGATCAGCGCTGTTATTGCCCGCCGTTTAATTAATGCATCCATCTTATTCCTTACAATTAATTTTCCTTTTCAAAGAAATTGATTTCGTAAACGTACTTTACAATGTGTCATTTTATTTGCTCGTTTTTATGCAAATATTCAAATTCAGATAGATATTGCGTAGTTCAGAAAGCAACTAGTCTCCAAACGGAAGATAGCTGAGCACCGGTAAATTCTAGGCCCTGCATGGAGGTTTAGGGGTTTTTCATAAGACAATTGATTGTGAATTAACAGTTTCCCAAAAAAAAAATCTACCCCGAAGACTTCCTTTCCCTTAGACAAAATAGGTCCTGTGTGCTTATCATAATCCAAATCTTAGCGTAAAATCTTTTATCATAGCGATGATGATATAAAATATTTCTATCTGATGTGTCAAGTTAGCATAATTGTATATTTCTAACGAAAATTGTTTGGCTCATGTTACCTATAAGAAAAAAAGATTCAAATCGTTTTGCTTAAACAGTATTTCATTATTAATTATATCACGAATTTTATCAATAGTATTCTTAGTATTAATTGCAGGCATGTATTCAAGAATATAATATACACCAAAGCTGTGTCTAATGTTACGGCTAATTTTTATAAAAATTTATAGTATAAAAAATTAGGTTCATAGGTCAGCATATTTGAAAGAGTACTTGTGTATTTAGAAAAGAGAGAGAGAA